TGCGGAGTTCGTAAACCAAATAGTTCGTAAACAGGGCTGTTCTTAAACTGAGGTACCCCTGTACTAGAGGTGGCACTCCAGATACCTGCTGGGCTCTGGATCATGCCCATTGTCCCTGGGTTAAATCTGGAATGTGCTAAATCAACCAGTAGCAAATTACTTGGCAAACAGAAAATCCTGTTTTTGACAATGGCACAAGTGTTTGCTACCATTATGCAGAGACAATGTTAAATGTAGTAAACGATGCAAACTGGAGGGGATCATACATAGGGTGGGAGGATTACTGGTGATAAAGGTCTGGTTGGATCTCCAGGATGAAAGACTTTGGCTGATCTTGTGCAGATGCCTAGTGCTGGCAGGTAACATTGATCCTAGAAAGATTGGACACATCTACATGTGTTTTTAAAAATACTCATTATTCATAATAAGGAGCAAATCTTGAGTACGAGTGAACTTCAAGGGAAATGCATTTGTGTTTACCAAATGTCCTCAATTGCTGGCTGTGGCCAGGATGACACACTACGAGGCCGGTGCAAAATTCCTGAACTCCTGTTTGCCTGACAGGGCTAAAGTAGAGAAAGGAAGCATTACCCAGAAGAATTCTGGGAAGGAAATAATGATTTAATGCAGGGGTAGGGAATGTTGTGCCTGAGGACAAAATGCGGCCCTCCATATCTCTCTATCTGGCCCTTGGACCTCTCCTCGGTCCATGCACCCTCTTCACATGCCACATCGTTCACAGGGCCTTGTTTCACACAAGTAGTTTTGCCAAATGTGCAAGTTGTATCCCCATTCCTCGTCTTGCAAGGTTGAAGAGTGTGAGTTTTTATGCATATTCCCTCAGAAGCTTGGATTAGGCCATCCTTCCCCAACTCATTCACTCTTCTGTCTGGTTCATCTAAACCTGCTAGATTTGGGCTGCAATTCTAACCATGTCCACCCAGAAATATGTCCTATTGAACTCAATGGAGATTTCTCCCAGGTAAGTGGAGTTGGGTTTTCAGCCTAATTTTCTTTTTATGAAAGAAAAAGTAATAAATGGAGCTTCCACTCTGCCACTCTCTTAGAGAGCAATTCAGTCACGAACAGGAAAATTCAGGGTACATGATTAAAGTTGTTGTTTTTATTATCGTTTTGTTATCTTCATCATTATTGTTATCCTGTCCTTCTCCCAGAACCTGGACTCAAGCTGGCTCACAAAAATGGAAACAGATACAAATAAAACACACATAGCTAAAAACATACAAAAAGTTATGGCTAAAAAGGAATTAAACGATGTAAAAAGAACATATCTATGAAAATACAGTATTAAAAAACAGTACAGGACAACGTAAAGAGCCCTTTCTTTATAGGCAGTCAATTCTCAGCAGCCTGCTGGAATAAAATAGGCTTTACCTGCCGGTGGAAAGACAAGGAGGGAGCCCGTCTAGCCTCTCTCGGAAGGGAGTTCCAAAGCCTGGGAGGAGCCACTGAAATGTGATTTGTTGTTCTTGTGTGACAAATCTGCTCCCCCTGACACATCCAATTTTTTTCCTATAAGCAAAGTCATAGGCAGCGCAGTTATACTATGGAACTCCTTCCCATAAGAGGTTGTGGTGGCCACCAACTTGGATGGCTTTAAAAGAGGATTCAACAAATTCATGGAGGACAAGGCTCTCAGTGGCTCCTAGCCATGATGGCAATGTTCCTCCACCACTGTCAGAGGTGTTATTCCTCTGAATACCAGTCACTGGAAATCACAGGAGGGCAGAGTGCTCTTGTGCTTGGGTCCTACTTGCTGGTTCCCCTCAGGCATCTAGTTGGCCACTGTGAGAACAGGATGGACCATTGGCTTGGCCAAGCAGGCTCTTCTTTTGTTCTTATGCATCAGAAATGTGGGGTAACAATTGCTTGCTGCAACCTCATATAATGTCCCTGGTGGCAAATCAGAATGCCCCTGCCACTTCCTAGGGAGAACATCATGACAAGGGGAAGAGCAGGCTGGCTCCATCCATCAAGAGGGGCAGCTGCAGGGAGTTCCTGCCACACTCTGCTCCAGCTGCCAGTTGCCCTGGAGAGAGAGGAAACACATCCTAACCCCTGTCATCAGTCAGAGGAAGAAGGCCTGCTGAGTCAGATGCAAGCAGCAACTCTGCCCAAGGAAGATCACCATCAGAGAAATTCCCTGGGGCCGACTCACCATTAGAGATGGGCAGATCTGCCAGGTTTGGTTTCTCTCAGATTCTAATTTTTCCCATCTTAAGTTCAGTTCCCCACATTTTCACATCAGTTTGCAGGGTTGTTTTTTAAGTCCTCATGAAAATTTGTCACCATTTTAGTGCAAATTTATCCTGACACACACCGGTTTGTATGCAGTTGGCAGTATACTTTTCCAGAAGTCATTTTCCTGCGTATAATGCATTTTTGTATGTCATTTTCTCTAATACATGCATGCTTATGCACACTTTACCTTAGTATATGCATTTTTTATTATTACTTGGCTGGAGAACTGCATTGCATAATACACGTTTCCGTGTAAAGTCTGCAAATTTTTAAAAAGCAAGTTCTCATGAAAACTCAGCATTTTAGGCTTAATTTCTCCAAATATAACACATAATTTGATTTCTTTAGTAAAATGTATATACTGCTTGATTGTAACAAAACCTATAAGCAATTTACAAAAAGTATTAAAATTATCAATACAAACAGTTAAAACAAGTATTAAAAGCATTTAAAAACAATTAAAATCAACAGTTTAAAAAAAGAGATTAAAACATCTCTGATGTTAGAGAGGGACATTTCTTCAGCACTTGATAACATTATGCTGCAGGGGAAACACAAGTCCTTCTCAGGGTGAGTATACCCATTCGCCAACCTTGATAAAAGAATAGAGCTTCCTTATTCAGAAGTTCTATGGGCCAAAGACAGGGTGACTTTTCTACACCTTTGTCCTGCTCATACAAGTTTCCAGAGGCCTTTGGCTGGTTGGTTAGAATGATGTGCTGAGTTTGACAGCTGCACTCCTGACTTGGGAGACTTGACCTGTACTACTGAAGAGATTACTGTACTGTGATTTTGTGACTTTATTTTTCCTCCACTGCATACAATGTTTTGCTTTCCTGCTGCCCGCAGGGTAACAAGGGCAGGTAGCATTATCATGGATGCAGGCAAGGCGTTTCGGCTGAGCCGTCTGGACCTCTGCCTAACAGCAGCTCCCAGGACTCAAAGCTGCTGCTTTGCTACTGCCTTCTGCCCGTTGCAGGCAGGAAGCCGGAAACCAGCGAGACAAGGCGACTGTGTGTGAGAGCTTTATGTGTGAGTTTGTGCGGCGGCGAGTGGGGGGGGGCTGAAATGACTCAACTCCACCCTCTTCCTTTTCTCCTTTATCTGCAACCAGCAACAATTTAAGAGTCTCTTCCCCGGTCAACACACACCTTCTAGTCCGACCTCATGCATGTTTACTCAGAAGTAAAACCCAGTGATTTCGATGTAGCTTTTCTTCTCAGCTGATGCGCGCTGGAACTGCAATCGGGCAACCTGATCCTACGTTTACTACGAAATCAGCCCGTCCTTATTAGTTACTTCTTTATCGCCTTCTGTATTTATATACCGCTTATAACTCCCAAACGGCTGATTTCTGGTCTAATGCAGCTTAGAAGGCGTTTGTGCAGTACAACTTGCCCATGCGATGTGTGGAACACACTCCCTAAAGTATGCAGACTTAGGTCGTGTCTAACCCCATGGGCTTAGCCAGGGATGTGTGTGCAGGGGACGGAAGCTGCCACCCATCAAGTAAATAAATAAAAATACTTCACTAAGTGACCAACCGCGTAGCAGATAGCTCGGTTCCGCCCCTAACATAAATCCTGGCTACACCCACGTCTAAACTTATTGATCTCAACGGGGAGTTTCCCCCCGTCTTGCATATTCGAAGATCACGCTCCAGTGTGGCTTGCATAGCATTAGCCTTGCGACGGATCCAGATGCTTCTGGCTGCAAATGTCAGGCGAAGAAAAAGCTCCACTGAAATCAGCGGAACTGACTTCTGACCAAATACTAATCGGATCGGGCCGAGGGCGCGCGCAACTTATTTGCGTGTGTTGAAGCTGCTGAGGAATTAGCGGGACTGTTAGGGCTGCAGAAGACCCATCCCAAACTTGCTTCCTAAGAAGTAAAAGGCATCCGTCTCAGCGAAGGACGGCACACAGTGGCGCAACTTGGTAATTTGGGATGGTGGTCTACATCTCGTTTCACCATCTCTACTCAATGGGGCTTGCTCCCAATTAAGTGGGAGGATTGCAGCCTCGGATGCCAAATATGCCTCACCTACATCGGCATGGGGTTCGGCTAGATGACCTTTGGAGTACCTTCCATGATTTCTACTTAGCAATTTATTAACAATAATAAAACTAGTCGCGATAGTAGTATAAGCGGGGTATAAGAAACAAAGTATTAACATAGAATCATGTCATTGTAGGTTTGGTAGGGCACCCCAGGGGTCATCCAGTCCAACCCCCTGCCATGCCGCAATCACAGCTAAACAAAAACCCCTGACCGATGGCCATTCAACCTCTGCTTAAAAACCTCCCAGCGAAGGAGCAGGAACACCAATAATCTCACAATATAACAGCAACAAATTGTAACAACGGCGCGATGTAGCGCGCCAGATCCACGGTGCATTTAGGGCAGGGAGCCCTCCTCCTCCTCCCCTCTCCTGAATGAGTGCTGGACTTCTGCCCCCCCCCCAGCCCTACTTTCTCCGACACGAGCACCAGTACGCGCGTGTACTAATGATGGGACCCTCGCGCCCTCATCTAAACCCCAGGAAGAGGAGGCGCATGCGCGCTCGGCCAGCCCCGTCTGGAAGAGGGGGGGGAAATCCCACGCCGCGCGCTCCTTCGCCTTAGGAGCAGTTAGTTGTGAATGGTTGAGGGTGTTTGGCCGGAGTACTCCGGGAGGGGAGGGGCGAGAGGGAAGTTGCTCGCTCTCTCTGACTCGCGCGCGCGCTGCGAGGAGAAACCGGGAGGAGGGAGGGAAAGAGAGAGACGCCGCTCCTTCTCCCTCAGTGGCTCCAGAGACGCCTCAGCGGGGCGAGACGCGACCGTTTGCCGCCCGCCCGCGTCGAGTCTCTCTTCTCTCTCCCACCCACCACCCACCCCTTTCTGGGTTGTGTGAGGGAGGGAAATAAAGACGGAAGCGGCGGCTTGAGGAGGGGAAAGAGAGAGAGGAGGGGAGGGGGGAAACCCTCACAAGATATATATGTATATATACAAAAGCAGTTGGGCTTCGTTGAAGCGCCGCCGCCGCGCCCTCCTCCTCCCCTCAGCGACGGCGACAAAAGCCGGCTTCGCCTGAGGTGAACGAAGAAAGGCGGAGGTGGGGCTCGAGCGCCGCTGAGGGAAAAGCGGACGGTTCAGCTCAGTCAGTCGCGGCGGCGGCTCTCGCTGCTACTGCCGCCGCCGCCGCCGCCGAGCTCGCTCCTGCCCAAGACCGCTCGCTCACTCGCCGCCTCAGCCGCCGCTTCCTGCTCGGCCACACGATGCCGCGGGTCGTCCCGGACCAGCGCAGCAAGTTCGAGAACGAGGAGTTCTTCAGGAAGCTGAGCCGAGAGTGCGAGGTGAGGGAGGGAGGGAGGGAGAGAGCGCGGGGCGGAAGTGAAGCAGGGAGACCGAGGGGGAGAGAGAGACGCAGGGCGACTCCGTGCCCAGCGGGCAGCCGGCCTCTGGCGGAGTCCGCCGGCAGGGGAGAGAGCAGGGAGCGGGAGGAAGGAGACGGGCAGGCGCCGCTGCTTCTCCGCCGGAGAGGCGGGGGGAGGGAAGGCGGCGGCGGAGAGGAAGGAGGAAACTTCGCGCCGGCGATGGCAGCGCTCTGCTGTCCTGCTGTGGAGTTGCTCTCAGAGAGGGGCGCGGGGTGGGTCGGTGGGTGGGAGTTTAATATCTCAGGCAGGGTTTTAAAACAAAACAAAAAAACACACACAAAAACGCAAAACTTGGTGTTAGTTATGGGATGATGGGGGCTCCTCGTGGCTTGCACACGTTGGTGCCCACTTAATCCAGATTTATCCTTCAAAGGAGTGGAATCTGATAAATCGAAGAAGAAAACTTGTTGCCCAGGTCCCCTCTTTGATAACTGAGTGACCCGTTTTGCAATGGTTACCCCTCTCTAGAACCACCCACCCACCCACTCTTTTTTTAAAGAGAAGTTACAGCCCGGTGAAAGAGGAGAGAGGTGACATTTTGATGCCAACGGCGTCGTGTGGATGCTGTGAAAAACCTGCGTGCGTGAGCGTTGTTCCCACAATAAGTACCCGTTTGGAAGCACCCTTGGGGAGAGAAGCCACTCCCCAGGCAGCCCAACGCATTATTATTGTGTCGTTTAAAATGTTTTTCTTTTTTCTTTTTTAAAAGCCCAGTTTTCAGAATACGCTGCCATCACAAGGTGATTTACAAGACTTAATACACACTTTAATTACACTTAATTAATTCAGTTTTTTAAGTAAATAAAAAACCTCACTTTTCAATGGCTGGAGATACTGTACTCCCAGAGCAGTTTACAAATGTCAGTGATAGAACAGTCGCTGCCCTCAGGCTTATAATCTAAAAGAAGCAATCCAAAAGGAAAAGGAATTGAAAGGGAGGAGGAGGGGGGAAAGAAGAAAATACATGAAAGCAACTTTACTTTGGTAAAGAAGCAACATCAGCCTCCCACCCCCAAGTAACAGTACTATTGAACCAAACACAGGCTTGACTGAAAGTTCCTTCAGATTATTATTGGATTTTTTTATAGTAGTAGCAATACCTTTTCAGTATTGCCTTTTGGAGGCAGTTCCAAAGATAGAGCCAACACTGAGAAAAACCTATCTATCCCTGGTACTTTGGAGCAACCGACAACAGCAACTAGGGTTTTCCAATGAGTATGTAGCAGGAATGCTGCCCCAACCCTAGAAAGGTCTAGGATCACATGCTTCAGGGTGGTGTGTGGTTACTGAACCCTGTTCAGGTTGCATGGGAAAGGGAGCGCTTACTTCCAAGTAAGCAGAAGGCAGGGAAATGCAGTCCTATATCTGTTAAGGCAAAGACCTCCTATACAGCCAATACATCAGAATGGGGATTACTACCAAATAAAGATACTAAAAGTCCTTATTGGGGTTAGTGTGTGTGTGTGTGTGTGTGTGTGTGTGTGTGTGTGTGTGTGTCTGCTCTTCCTAACATCACTGGGGCACCCAGACTGGCCCTTCTTATCCTCTGCTCCACACCAAAAGGAAAAAGTGACCTCTATTCTCCTGCCACCCGCTTAACAATGTGTAGTGTATTATATACCCTGCTTGTTCTTCGTAATTGATTAGGTGATAATAATGACTTGAATTCTGTTGCTAATATGGGTTACTAGCCACACATAAGTATGTGCTGAAAAAGAATGGGAAGTTGTTCTTTGGACAGACTGGTGTATATTATCAGATTGTGACAATGTAGTTACAACTTCTTTCACATAAGCGATGTTGAACATTTGTTGTCCAAAGCATGTAGTGAAAGAAGAAAATGAAATCCACTGCTGTTAAGTTGCCCTGGTTTTGAGTGCAGGGGTGTCGACATGGAGGAGTTTAACAATTCATATGATTGTGCAGCTGCCATAGGATGCTATCTCTTTTGTACTCTTTTGTCCAAGGAAAATATTTTTTTTGGGGGGAAGGATCACATGCATTTTTATGTCCCTAATCACCTTTTCACACAAATATGTGGTTAAATAGTACTTTTATGCCCCTTACAATGTATGCTTATGTTAGGTAAAATATGAAATTATAATCCTTGTGTTGATGGGTGTGGGTACATGCATGTAGAACAGGGCAAAACAGTAGTTATTCCAGACTGATTAATTTTGGCTAAAGATTAATAACCTTGCATAGGATGGTTGCAGTGGACATTGGATAGCTCAAATATTTCAGACTTTTTGTTTCCCTATAGCAAATGTGTTCAGTGCTAATTAGTTGGGGATACTGACTTTTTTCATTTGAGAGGGGTATTGTTTTTAACATTTTAAAGGAGAAAACTGGAGCGAACTCCTGTGTTGACTTATACAATACTCATTAGCATGGGATCTTGTGAACATGTTCCATATTCAGCGGTGGAGGGACTTCCTGAATTTGGAGCACATGTGGCAGCTCTTTATTTCCCCTTTCTCATTATGTGCTCATAGTGTCCGTATCTGGCATTTATTGCATCAGATGCTACTAATGCCATTAAAACTAGAAGATCGGCTTCCAATTTCTAGGCTGGAGTAGTTCACACATACAAACCCTTTAATTTCTGCTGCTGTATTTTCTCTTTTCCTTCCTTCTGCCCCAAAACTGAATGGTAAATTCTGTGCTGGATTGTGCATTCTCTTTTGTCTTGCTTTCCATTTGCTGCTGCATCTATGCATCATGATAATTCTTTATACATAAGTTCTTAACCCGAGGTACCACTGTATACATCCACATTTGCATTGTTTTCTTATATATAATATGCAGTTCACACAGAAGTTGCAGGATCTGAGTGCAGCTCCACTAATTATTGTAATCTTGTTAAAGTGCTTGGAAGTGCACACTGCAGTTTTGTTTTTCTTTCCTTTTTAGATGCAAACTAATTGTGAAATATTTAGTGCCTCTCCACCATGGGCATTCTTTACACACATGTTCATGGTGTTGTCGAGTCAGCTGTCCTCTTTGTGCCTTCTGTCCTTTCTGTGGAGATGTTGAACTTACATGTTTAATGGTCAATACATCCTATCCCAAGTACTGAATTTTTAGAAGAGACTTTGTTTCATTCTTTGCCTGCTGCATGAACAATGTTGACATCTCTCTTCCCAATAACATTTCCTTGTTTGTCCTTTTCCATTTTATTGTCTATGAATATTTTGCTCTTAGCACTTTTATTCAAAGGTGGGCAAATACAAAGCTGGGGATCATAGTGTGACTTTTAAAATAATGTCTGAAGATGAATTGTGTACAGAAGTATTTCTTGGGGAGGAGAGACCCTCTTCTCAGCCTCTCTGGAAGTAGAATATTGTATTCAATTTGTATCTGTGTAGGCTTGCCCTTATCTCTTTCCTGGCATTGTAGAGAAGGCAGGATTCAGGTTTTGATTTGGCTTGTGCTTATTGCAGATTAAATACACTGGCTTCAGGGACAGACCACATGAAGAAAGACAGGCCAGGTTTCAGAATGCGTGCCGAGATGGACGGTCTGAGATAGTAAGTATATATGCATGGATCTATACATTGGTGAAGTTTACTTATGTGTCTTCCACTCCTCTGCTCTGGTCATCTTGGAGTAACAGCTAGTCTCACCTTAAAAAAGCATAAACTGTTTAGATCCAATTTTCTTATGCTAGCAAGCCAGAATGAAATAAGTGGTCTGAGCTGCTAGGACTTACAGAAGGGGAAAACCCCTATTTTCTGCTGTCTTCAAAAATGTATGGGAATTTGGGAAGTACAGACTAGATGGCTAAAGCCTAGATCTAGACTGTAAAATGTTATTTGTTCACATATGGTCATTGTCCATGGCACTTTCAAGACCGTTGGTCATTCCATTTCAGAAAGGCTTTCGTCCTGGCTGTTTGAGAGTGAAAATAAAATTGACTAGACTTCCTTATTTCTTTAAATTGCAGGTTTATCAATTGTTTTTAGATATAAAATGCCTCAAATTACTAGGTGCTGTACAATAAATTTTGAAAAAGAGAATTCTGTACCTACAGACTTACAAGCTAATTTTAATAAAGTAGGAATTAGTGTAAAAAGTGCATAGAAATAGAATATCCTGTGTGCTTAAAGGTTTCATACTCTACATTTATATATACTCACTAATGGCTATCTCAGCAGGAACATTTAAGTACTGCTGTGCGTGAATACTAAGAGCTGTTAAGAGAGAAACTCTTGTCTATCAGTATTTAGCATGCAGCTAAATACAAAAAGCTTTTTGGTGGTGGAAAACAGCAACAATCATATTTACCAATTTAGTTGTATTTTGTATTAGGTTTTACAGCTAAAAATATTCCTTTTGTGAGCTTGGTTGTATTAAAAGCTAATTCTTCATGTTTTAAAATTGTGTTATACAAGGGAGTAGGTTACTTGCTTATATCATTGCACTGTGGAATTTTGATGTATTAAAACTGCCTAGAACTTAGTTTTACTTTACTACTTTCTTTTTTCTCTCCCCCTCCCCCCTTTTTAGTTTCTACTTATTTCTTCAATGAGACCTGTGTGCTCACTACCCACTACTGGCTGATTTTGTGCAGTGTTCATTTTCTTGAATTATGGCACTTAAAATATGACATTTTTGTATCCACCATTGTTTTTATGTGTAATGAAATTGGTAGAGAAAGTTCCATGTTTGAAGGCTGGGGTATGGTAGGCAATAAGCACATGTGTTGTACTTGTTCTTCATAATAAGACAGCATACCCTTTAGGAGTTGTGGCTGCTGGGTCTGCTGCTGTGGACCTATGATTTTAAGTTCATAAATGGTCACAATTATCCTAGCTTGTGCAGTGCTACTGTTCAAACAGCAATATGATTTTTCTTTTCAGTTTGACAGAAACATTCCCATTGTAGCTGGTTCTTATGAGCCCCATCTGTTGTAACAAAAAAAGTAGATAGTTGCCTTATAGAGAAATTGCATTGATCTGAATCCTCTGATTTTTGTCCTGAACATGTTGCCTGTCTTTTTAGATCTCACATTGGATGTGTTTGGATGTTGCAATAAACCATTGCTTATTGTGATGGGGATGAGCCTGGGAAAGATCATGCACTTCCCCTCCTCTTAGTGCCTTTGCTGTAGTTGCAAGGAGGAAGCTTTTGTTTCCATTTTTATTAACTGCAAGTCACCATTTTGTCAACACTCAACAAACTGTGGTTAGTCTTAACTATAGTTTGTTAGAACCAAACCAACTTCAAATCTTAGTTTAGGGTTTTGGATGAGATGATAAACTGTATATAACCAAAAAATGAAAGTAAAAGCTGATCTCCTTATGACTGCGTTGGAAGAGAATTGGGAGAGGTGGAGTGTGCAAACCAGAGGCTTATGTACACGTGTTCCTGTCACAATAAACCATTGTTATAGTAACATCTGGTTTATTGTGATGTCCAAATATAGCCGTTATATTATTTTAATGGTGAAAACTAACAAGTAGAAAATGCTTGACACTCATTCAGACTTAACAATTAATTAATTAAATTTCTAAACACCTTTCATCCAAGAACCACAGGGTGGATTGCAATATAAAAACACAAAAAATAGATAACATAATAACAAGCAAAAAACAAACATATTTTGCTCTTGAATACCACATTGTTGGTCAAGCATGTTAAATTTTGCATAGAGTTCCATTTAAAAAATATATATCAGACTCTGCAAAAGCAAATAGTTAACATTCCTAGGTTTGCTGTACATTAAAATTACCTCTCACCATAAGCAGGAAGCTTTATATTTTATGATATCCTTAAAGTTCATGTGAAGCAGCCTTCTGTAACCTGGTACCCTCCAAATATTTTGAACTACAACTCAAGTCAACCCCAGTCATTATCGGCCATAGTTGGGGTGAAGGGTGATGTAGTTGAAAAAATCTGGAGGGTAACAGGTTGCAGAAGGCTGCATTACATCAAAATGAAACTCACTTATTTTTATAACATATCCCCAAAGCCACATAAAATTCTTCATGTGATAGCTAAAGTAAAATTATACAGTAGATTAGTTTTATAATCTGCTCTAACAATATTCATAATACCTAGTACAATTGCTCATTGGTTCTCATGATAGTCATATTTATTTAAAAGTGTATTCATATACCGTATTTAATCCAAAGGTCTCAGTGTGTGCAACACAAGTTAAATAAGTTAAATGTGAGTATAATAATCTCAGTAAAAACACAATATATCAAACAATATTCAGTTCAATGACCTCCAAATGATTACATAAAAAGCTATGACTAGGCCCTGAGCGTTATTTTGTGGAAGTACTAAAGATGATGGCTGATGGACCAAAGAGTGTTGCATTAATTAGGAGTGATCACCATCACTATTATATAATAACTGTGACCTACTCTTGAGCAAATTCTGCCATTGCCATCAGTCAAGCTTATGCATGATACGTCTATTCGAAGCTTCCACAGAAACCTAAGGCAGCAACTAGTTTTTTAATAAGATTGTAAGGGTAGATGCTCCTGCCAACCTAGCAGTTCAAAAGCACGTCAAAGTGCAAGTAGATAAATAGGTACCGCTCCAGTGGGAAGGTAAACGGCGTTTCCGTGCGCTGCTCTGGTTCGCCAGAAGCAGCTTAGTCATGCTGGCCACATGACCCGGAAGCTGTAAGCCGACTCCCTTGGCCAATAAAGCGAGATGAGCGCTGCAACCCCAGAGTCGGTCACGACTGGACCTAATGGTCAGGGGTCCCTTTACCTTTATGGGTAGATGCTATTTGACTGACAGTCTTAGGCTAATATTTTAATTACAATTTTGTTGTTTTAGGGATAAACATCCAGACAATATTTGGCAAAATGTTACTTATTAGCAATTTATTCAATATCTCATTCATAGTGATTCTAATGTGACATTCTTGGCGTTCAAAATACCAATATATTTACAATACAGCTCATTTGTATATGTAATATAATTGTATCAAAGAGTATATACACTATTAAATACTTTCGTGCCACGTTTGTCCATGTCTCAAGAGCCTTGAGAATCCTTGCAGGCTCCAAGCTTGTAACAGATGTGCCTCATTTGGCAATCTATGTAGATTCTTGGGTGTGTTCCGATTCTGAGGCATGGCTCAATATTTAATCTAAATAATAAATAGCTTATGAACCTGATTGAAGTTCCAGTAAGTGTGTCATTTTCTGTACTTGAATGAAATGATACTACATATCATTGTGTTGAAACACTAAATTCAAATATTTAATCTTACAAGTGCGGACCTGCATCAAAATGTTGCAGTATATCCTCAGTCCTAAACAAGAATGCTTTGGTTCAAGGCTCCAGCAAAGAGGAGCCATGTGATGTTGAGAGTTTGCAGAGCCCCTCCTTTTTTTCTTACCTTTCCTCCACAGTACTATATAGTAAAAAGGCATTCAGAGCTTATTGCCAGCCCAGAGCACAAGTGCTTTACTGGCATAGGTTTGGGGGTGAATATTATGCATGGAGAAGGATGCTTTTTAAAACAACATGGCATGCATTTCCCTCAACTCTAATGGTCACCTTTAGGATACAGGGGCTCGAATAGGCCAGAGGTCCTTCTATTTCTCTCACACACACCCCTTAAATACTGCATGGCTCAGTCACCCTCAGTCATTGAATTAACTGATAGATTCACACAGACTACCTAGCACACCCACCTCAGCATCTTTTATGTCCCCTGGTGCAGAGATTCAATTATTTGAATTTGCTATTAGAGGGGTTATATTTAACAAACTGGAGATCAGGAGTGTGACCTTTTAGCATTGAAATCTGTGCCCACCTATCCTGGCAGAGGTTTTAATGTATATTATAATGCTTCTAAAGAGTTCTACTCTGTGCTCTTAATCAGCTTCCTAAGATGGATTTTTAAACTTTTTTGAAATTAGATGCCTGATACGTAGGTCTTGATTTGATGGTATAGTAGCTATTTCACCTATTCCCTCTTTGTTGTGACCATATAATGAGGCATTATTGACTTGGTGTAGGATAGAATATTTCTGGTGGCTGTCAGTTTATTAACTTGGGACATAACTTGAAAGTTTTATCATTAATGACATTTCTATTTTCTAGCCCTGTTAACTATAGCTGAATCTTAGAAAGAATCGCAGATTTTTTATTACCTTTCTATAACAGTCTTTATTGGCTGGGATCCAGCCAATAAAGGTGTTCAGTATTTAATGAATGCTGAAATAATTAAAGAATGGCTGATACTTAAATGTGAACTTTGAATTATTATAGCAGTCAGTTCTTTAGGCATTGGGGGTTCTTTTATCGGGTCACCACATTAGGAAAGTAGATGATGATGGAACAAAATATTAATCTCTTTTAAAAACCAAAATAGTGAATGTGTATTTTTACAAAAATCAGTGAGAAGTACACTCAAAATCAGGAATTGATTTAGTTGTGTTATTCAAAACAGTCAGGTTTTTTAGTTTAAAAAAAGACAGCAGCTGCCTATAAAGACTGGCTTCTAACAAAACTTTAAGAAATGCTCTTGGCTGCTTATCTGCAGCTGCAACGTTTGAATCAAAATGTTACTTTCAGTATCTATGTTCATTTCCCATCCTACTGCTGTACTTCCTCTAGTGAGTTTGTATAGTGTACATTAATCTTGTGTGTGTTCATTTGTTGCTGGCGATGCAGACAGCTTGAGATACATTTTCCTTTCAAATGAGAATTCACAAACCTTTGCTTCACATTGTGTTTCCCCCATTATACAACTGTGCAGAGTTAAAGCTTTTTACTTATAAGTTGCACTTAAAATATAAGCACCCCTTAAAACATTCAAACCACTTAGTCAGACTTGCACTGTAAACCAGTATAGAATTTTCAGAAAGTAAAGTATTGATTATGTGTTGTATCTTATATCTGAGACAGCCAATGGCAAATGTTGTCAAAATGAAATCAGATGTTTGTAACTTAATATTTAAGAAAAATGATGAGTGCATGTTTTTTACTTTGAGCATTCTTAGTGCTGCTCAGCTTTAAAGACATAAACTGATGTAAAAATAAATTTCTGCTTGCATAATTTATGTAATGTCTTGCTCCCTGATCCTGTTTGTATTGATTTTTCTAAAAGGCTTTTGTGGCCACAGGAACCAATCTGTCTCTCCAGTTTTTTCCGGCCAGCTGGCAAGGGGAACAACGGCAGACACCAACCCGAGAGTACGTTGACTTTGAAAGAGAGGGAGGCAAGGTAAGGACAAAAAGTATAGATTGTGGTTATACAGGTATATATCACAGTGGCTTTAAAATGTGAGCTAGAGGTTTATGATATAAAATGAACTTGTAATAATACACATTGATATTTCTTTATTTTTATGGTGGCCAGTTGTCTATTGCTTCTTTAAAACCATGCAAAACGTATATGATACTATTACCATATATGTTGTGTAAATATGGCAACAGTTTAGTAGATCCTAAATGGATTTTGCAGTACGCCCAGGATCTCAGGAAGGGGAGAACATTTAGCACAAAGAATAGAATAAAATATTGCTACTGCTTTCTAATACAGTGGTACCTCAGGTTAAGTACTTAATTCATTCCGGAGGTCCATTCTTAACCTGAAACTGTTCTTAACCTGAAGCACCACTTTAGCTAATGGGACCTCCCGCTGCCGCCGTGCTACTGGAGCACAATTTCTGTTCTCATCCTGAAGCAAAGTTCTTAACCCAAGGTAATATTTCTGGGTTAGCGGAGTCTGTAACCTGAAGCGTATGTAACCCGAGGTACCACTGTAGTTTTCATGCTTTATAATAGTATTCAAATGTGTTTCACAATTTTTAATTGATACTCTAAGGCCACCTAACATATGGCATTTTCCTAACACAAATGTAGGAAGGTCTGTGTACAAAAAACCACACCATCATGTGTAAGACATTTTTGGAATATGTTAGTATTCAAAAATAAATTAAGGTATTCTTGTTCTGTACCCTTTTTCCTAGAGATGTAAAAGTCCAGAAAGAAACTGGATTTTTTCCCCTTCCGGGGTTTCCCAGGCCTTCACATCTTTAGTTTTTTGTACACATGTATGTGAAGAAAAATGTATGAATCAGCCCTTCAAAGAGCACAGTAAAACTTATGCATCTCAGACAGATAAGCAGACAATGGAAAGTTGAAGTTTTGTGTGCATTTTTATAGCTCTAAAAATAGATATTGAATTGTGTGTTTGGTTTTGTCTGCAATGGTGACATGCTGGCATATTGAAGCGTTTGGTATGGTCACATTATTCTAGATAAAATCTACACAACATGGAGTTGTTTAGATATCCTTGGGCAAGTTCTTCTCTTTTTTTTTTAAATTGATATTTATTAAATTTTCAAAAAATAACAAATAACAACAAAAATTACCAAAAAAGTTTGAACATACAAAAAAGAAAAAAAAGAAAAACAAAAATAATACAGAAATAATAAAGAAGAAAAAACCCAGCCGCAAAAAAGAAAAAAAGAAAAACAGAAAAACAGAAATATAAAATCCTTTACGATCTCCATTAACTTCCTTTCTAGACTTCCTCCTCCTCCCCTCTCTTGTTTCTTAGTGTTTAATTTTTTAACAATCTATCATTGCGTTTCCTTGTTCTATTTTCCCTCTTGTCATATAAAAACTTTAAAACTCAAAGCTTATATTCCATATTTAGCAAATTCTTACATCATTACCTTTTTACAAACCATTTACCAATTCTTACTTAAGTCATATAATTTCATTCAACATCCTTCAAACATTTATAAACATTCCCAATATTAAAAAATAAGAAAAAGAAAATAATAAGTCAGATTCAATCCAGTCAACTTCCAGCCTCCCCTCCCCTGGTCCCGGGATTGTCAGTCCTTTTAACCTCAATAATCCGGCTCCTTAACCTGGTTGTCTCGTGTCCGAGGCCCTCAAGTCTCTTTCTTGCCCCTTTCGCCACTCTTGTTGATATTTCCCTTTCAGTCGTGGATACTCCAGCAAAAAGATGCTTTTGACTCTTTGCAGCAAGTCCATCCCAAACCCATTACCCAAGCCAGACAGCAGATAATACCACTTCCAATTTCCAGAAAACTTGGAGACTTCGACTTCTCCAATCCTCTGATGGCCCATCCCTAGACTCGGAAAGTCCAAATAACCATATAGAGGGGTGTCAATCCATCCCCCCATTTCCAAATCTGACCGCATTTCATCTTTCCGAATCAGGTTTGTCCCAAGTTCATTTATCAAGTTCAAAGGCTGATCTTGCCCATCCATAAGTCCCTCCATCTCTGAAGCCTCCGTCGCTACAGCAGGTTCATATACTTGTATAGACTTTAACTGAATTTCATTTGTTTGCTGCTGTGCTCTGGTGACTTCCGTCATCATCAAGGTCGACTCCTGACGCATCTGGTCCAGCTGGGCACTTAATTTTGCAAAACCTTCCAGGAACACTTGTTCAAGCCTTTGTACAAGCATTGTCCTTCAAGGTCAGAAAAAATTCTTTCCCACGAGAATGGTCCTTCTCTTTTAAACTCTCTGCATTGCAATTTCACTCAGTTCCACTAGATGGAAAACCCTTTTTTTTTTTTTTTTTTTTTTAAGAGGGGGGAAAAAACAACAGTAACAATCTTTCTTTTTCCAGAAACACTTTATCCAAAATTCCCCCTTTCAAATTCAAGAGGCAACAGTAGAATCAAAATGTTACCCTTCTTTTAACTATCTGTCGAGCTGGATAAGCTTCAAAACGTCAGTTCTGACAGCCCGCTCCTGGTTCAGGGAGGTGGAAAATTACTTTATTTTAAACTCACTTCCGCAGGGTTGAAAAGATCAAAACAACCCCCTTCTTCTCCTGCAATCAAAAGGGGGGGTTCAGAAATCTTAGATGTTGAATTTTAGTTCTCTCAGAATTTAGTTTTCAGGCTTTAGTATAATTTGTCTTTGCTTTCTTCACGTAACAAAAGAACGGAAGGCGACTTCCTGTTTAGACCTTTCCGTTCCGAGTCCCAATTAAATTCAATTTCAAGTTCAAGTCCAATGTTATTTATTTATTCACCAATCTTAAAAGTAGTTCAGCTCTTCCAGGATCAGGTACTCACGGATAGATGTTTTAGATGCCAAATTGTCCAGGAAAAAGGCAGCGCTCTCCGAAAGCGGCAGTGCGGCTTTGCTGCACGGAGGAAGCAGTCGACTCACAGCACCACGCACCTCCACTCCGGAGCCCGTTACCGGGCTCCTGGCACAGGGGAGAGCGCTCTCGGTGCCCGCCGAGTCCCACGCCCACAGGCTTCTTCCGCCTGTGGTTTTTGAGGGTCCCCGCTGCGCCGTAGCGGCAGGACCCAAGCCTCCGTGCAGCGGGTTCCCTTCAGTTCGAAGGGAATTCCGCCATTTTCCGGAGGCGCCACCCCGGAAGTCCTTCTCATCCTAGTCTACCTCACAAGGAAAAACAACATTGTACCATGCATTTTAGTATTTTGGGGTAGGAAAACTAAATTTAAAAGGTAGATGTGTTTGAATATATTTTCCATTAGTTACTGTACGACAGTGGTTGCCAACCTTTTTGGGTCTGGGACACATTTGGAATTTTGAGGAAGTGCCAAGGACACTAGTCACAAAATGATTGCCAACAGGGGTGTGGCTTAATGCACAATGGCTGCTGCCTTCAGAAGAACAGGAAAAGAAAAGAGACGGGAACATAAAATGGTTCAAATATGAAGAAAACTATTCAACTTTTTTTGTTAAAATCTTTGAAAAACTTCCTTCTTTTCCAGGCTTTGTTAAGTCTCTGTTATGCTGTCTGTTGCTGGTCTGCTGTTGTAGATTAGAGATAGCAAATAAAGGATAACTGAATCCAGGAATCATTTTGAATTACTAAAGCCAGCCATGAATAGGCATGGCTACAAATAAAAAGATATACCGTATTTTTTGCACCATAACACTCACTTTTTTCCTCCTAAAAAGTAAGGGGAAATGTCTGTGCGTGTTATGGAGGGAATGCCTACGGGTGGCATGCCTTCGGATTTTCCTCCTCTAAAAACTACGTGCGTGTTATGGTCGGGTGCGTGTTATAGAGCGAAAAATACGGTACTTAATGCTGGATGGCATTAAGTAATTTTTTACTATCTTTTTTGAAAGAAATTTTTAGAAATGCAAGGAGTGCACAGAAAATACACTCAACAAACATGAATCGCCCTCGTACTTGAATGCCATTGTACATCTATTTCGTTCATTCTTCCTATGTCAAGAGGCAATACAAGTTCTATATCGATAGCTGAATAGATTTACAACACTCGATTTTTTTTCTATTCCTGGTTCAAACTTCTTTTGTACTGAGCTTTACTGTGCTGTTTTGTTTCTGCTTTGTCTTAATGATGACATATATTTTAATTCTGTGCATTGCCCTGATTATGTTTATAAAGGGCAGCCTAAAAATCTTTGAAATAAGATAAATGAGTTTCCTTTAAGTTTTGCCTAAAATGAAGTTTAAATAGTGAATATAGGGCTTTCTACATCAGAGGAATTGTGAGGGAAGCAAAGCATTTAAATAATAGTAAAATATATTGGGGAGTAAGTCCTGCACATTTCATCACTAAGGATTAAAAGAATGCCTTCTGTTGCAAACTGGCAGATTTCAACTTCAAGTAGAGAAAAATATATATATTGACTTGAATAGTATTTAATATGTAGTCATTGTCTGAGTATATAGTTGGATAAATAAAAGTACTGAAGCAACAGAAGCTTACTGTTGGAGGCTGAACGGGATGGAGCAGTGTTCTGATCCAGTATGTCTGCTCTTTCATACATCCTTGTCTCTATATGAATATATGAATATTTATGACTCCTGGCTCTCGACATGGCTGTTGGACTGGTACAGGCTATGTATCTTGTATAGCAGGCTTCCCCAAAATGAGCACAGAACAGTCCTGAAAGCAAAGGTACCTGTATTTTCTGTGACACACTCATACTACTGGTTGTGCAAGTCATGTGAAAATACAGTTTTGGTATGAAGAGGTATTGTGGTTTGTATCCTGAAATACTAAAACTGATAGATCTGGCTAGATGTACTGGCAGTTATGTGAGGATATAAGTGATAAGTCCTTGAGAAAGGAAGTGAGAGATTACCACTTTCTTGAAGTTTAACTCCTACTTCATTTCACTCATGGTGGTAAGGCAGTTCAATTCAGTTTTGTTCCTAGTAGTACTCTCTTGTTTGAATGTGTTATTCATCATCATCCCCAACCCACAATTGAATGCATATAGCGTAAAAGACAAACAGGCAGCAGAGCTTGTGAAATAACCAATAACACAATGGCCAATACAGTCGTACCTTGGATCTCAAACACCTTGGCTCCCAAACAAATCAGCTCCTCTTTTTCCGGTTTTCGAATGGTTTCGGGAGTCGAACGGACTCCTGGAACTTATTCTATTCAAGAACCAAGGTACCACTGTACAAGCAAACTTTGGCATAAGGAGGACATGAAGATTTCTAGAGAATGCATTTTTTTTGCTTCTGGCCTCCTTTCCTAAAACTTGTATTTTTTGTGATTCTCGAAGCACTGCTTTCAGACTCATCTTTAAGGTTCTTGCATTAGGTTTTAATACAAACTTATTGTAAAAAGCCTACAAGTAAATGCAATTTTAGTAGATAAAAATATTCTGCTATCCAGTTTTCTGGATGTATATCATTACTTCAAAGTGCCTGTGTTTAATGTATCCTTCAACATTGGGAAATGGCATTAGGGCAGCTTCGAAGAACATTCAACAAAGCAGGGGCAAGGAATGTGGGAAATGAGGCGAGGAAGGGATCTAGCTATGGTTAAGAAGAAAGAGAATGCATAGCCACTTGCATTTTCCTTCCAGAAAAGCAAGAGGCATTATCACAGTTCAGTAGCACATTCAAGCCATACAAAAGCAGTCAAGGGGAGTGTGGCCTTTGCGAGGCAGGTGTATCCTATGGAGTCTCCCAATGGCCAAATAGAGAATCCCGGAGGGCCACATTTGGCTCCAGGGCCTGAGTTATAACATGTCTGAAAAAGAGTGGCATTGAGCAGCCTCTAGGACTGATTCCAAAGAGCTGAATATGCAGGGGGTGCCATGCCCACCCAGTTACAAGAAAAATGTATCCTATAACTTTCCCCTGAATATGAAAAAGCTTTTTGCAAAGCTTATGGATCATTCTGAGTCATGTTCATTAAGTGTCATGATACAGGGCTAAAGCCAATTCACTGGTACATTTCATCCTCTCAAAATTAATTCCCGTAAGGTGATATTACTCTTGCTACAAGAGAGACAAACTTGTACTTTTCAGGAAATGCAAAAACAGAGTAAGGTAAAGGTAAAGGGACCCCTGACCATTAGGTTCAGTCATGACCGACTCTGGGGTTGCGGCGCTCATCTTGCTTTATTGGCCGAGGGAGCTGACATACAGCTTCCGGGTCATGTGGCCAGCATGACTAAGTTGCTTCTGGCGAACCAGAGCAGTGCACGGAAACGCCGTTTACCTTCCCACCGGAGCGGTACCTATTTATCTACTTGCACTTTGACGTGCTTTTGAACTGCTAGGTTGGCAGGAGCAGGGACCGAGCAACGGGAGCTCACCCCATCGTGGGGATTCAAACTGCCGACCTTCTGATTGGCAAGTCCTAGGCTCTGTGGTTTAACCCACAGCGCAACCTGCGTCCCAAAAACAGAGTAGTTGGATTTATTTAAGCCAAGATATGCTTGCCAGCTGGCTCTACTCATTCACTGGAGATGATTTGATTAATGGCTGAATTATAGGTGTTGTGTGCATTAGATATGGCACTAGATTCCGGAATTAATTAGGGCAATTGCAGTCTCCTCCTTGTGGCAGGCATGTGCTTAAACCAGCACTAACTCACACAATAGGAACTTTCCCTGATTCACCACAATGACACACTCAGAGCAAAGCCAGTTCTCTCACACAGCTTCAGGACATGCACAGAGTTCCAGCTGTTCCAACCTACTTGTCAATACAATTCAGATTTTTAACTCTTTGGCTTCCCAAGTTAATAGTTAATGTATTTGTACAAGAAGATGCAGGCATGCTGCCTTGGAAGGGTGAAGTTGTGTGTTATATAATTACACTATTTCTTTTAGCTCTCTGTAGCCTTACACTTTATGCCCATTATGATCAGGTTCTGGAAACTTTCAGCTATGGCTTCATTAAATGTGCAGGTACCAAAACATGAATAAGGCAAGAAAACATCCTCCTATCTTCTCACTCAGTCCTTCAGTTATCCTCTACCCCACTAGTTCTATTGCTTTAAAAATGTTGCCATGGTTTGCTATTGGGTGGGGGATACTTTCATTTTTATTTTTTTTAGAATAATATTTATTAAAGTTTCAAGAGAAAAAAAATCGCATTAATAATAAACAAAATTAACAATAAAAAGGAAAAATACAAAATAGAAAAACAAAGAAAAAACAGTTAAAAACAATTCCATCTTTTCCTCACTTCTTCTACGTTTACTTGTTTCCCGGACCTCCTCATACCTCCCTCTTTTGTATTCCAATTCAATTTGTTAATCCAACAATTCCTTTCCCTCCTTTTTAATCCTAATCCTTAATCTTGATATATTGTAACATTAGATTTTTACAAATTAAAAACCAATTTTTCCATATTCTTTTGTACCTATACAGCTAGAAACCACTTAACTTCAATCCAACATCATTCTAACATTCATTTATTTTGCAATATTTCTGTAAATAGTCTTTAAATTTCTTCCAATCTTCTTCCACCGACTCTTCTCCCTGGTCACGGATTCTGCCAGTCATTTCTGCCAATTCCATATAGTCCATTAATTTCATCTGCCATTCCTCCAGTGTGGGTAAATCTTGTGTCTTCCAATGCTTTGCAATGAGTATTCTTGCTGCTGTTGTAGCATACATAAAGAAAGTTCTATCCTGTTTTAACACCGATTGGCGGACGATGCCCAGGAGAAAGGCCTCTGGTTTCTTCAAGAAGGTATATTTAAATACCTTTTTAGTTCATTATATATCATCTCCCAGAAAGCCTTAATCTTTGGGCACGTCCACCAAAGGTGAAAAAATGTACCTTCAGTTTCTTTACATTTCCAACATTTATTATCAGGCACATGATAGATTTTTGCAAGCTTGACTGGGGTTATGTACCACCTGTATATCATTTTCATAATATTTTCTCTTAAGGCATTACATGCCGTAAATTTCATACCTGTGGTCCACAACTGTTCCCAGTCAGCAAACATAATATTATGTCCAACATCTTGTGCCCATTTAATCATAGCAGATTTCACCGTTTCATCCTGAGTATTCCATTTCAACAGCAAGTTATACATCTTTGACAAAATTTTAGTTTTAGGTTCTAACAGTTCTGTTTCTAATTTTGATTTTTCCACCTGGAAGCCGATTTTCTTGTCCAAATTGTATGCCTCCATTATCTGATAATAATGAAGCCAGTCTCGCACTTTGTTTTTTAGTTTTTCAAAACTCTGCAGTTTCAATCTATCTCCATCTTGTTCCAAAATTTCCCAATATTTCGCCATTTGACCTCCATATTGAGCTTTTTCAAAGCTTTCGCTTCCATCGGTGACAGCCACCTTGGGGTTTTATTTTCCAATAAATCCTTATATCTTATCCAAACATTAAACAATGCTTTCCTGACAATATGGTTTTTAAATGCTTTATGTGCTTTGACCTTATCGTACCACAGATATGCATGCCATCCAAATACATTGTTAAAACCTTCCAAATCCAAAATGTCAGTGTTTTCAAGAAGCAGCCATTCTTTCCACCAGCAAAAAGCTGCTGATTCATAATAAAGCTTGAGGTCTGGCAGGGCAAATCCACCTCTTTCCTTTGCATCTGTTAGTATTTTAAATTTTATTCTGGGCTTCTTGCCCTGCCAGACAAATCTAGAAATATCTCTCTGCCACCTCTTGAAACAGTCCATTTTGTCCACAATTTGCAATGTTTGAAACAAAAACAACATTCTAGGCAATACATTCATTTTAACCGCAGCAATACGGCCCAGCAGTGAAAGCTTCAAATTTGACCAAATTTCTAAATCTTTTTTTCACTTCAGCCCAACATTTTTCATAATTATCTTTAAATAAGTTCCCATTTTTTGCTGTCAAGTTGATCCCCAAGTATTTAACTTTCTTAACCACTGTTAAACCTGTCTCATTCTGAAACCTCTCTCTCTCTATTGGTGTTAAATTTTTCTCTAAAACCTTAGTTTTTACCTTATTCAATTTAAATCCTGCGACTTGACCAAATTCTTGAATCAATTCTAAAACCCTTTTGGTACTAGATTCTGGCTCCTGTAACGTCAGTACTAAGTCATCTGCAAATGCTCTCAATTTGTACTGTTTAGCTCCGACCTGTATACCTTTAACCAACTGGTCCCTTCTAATCATGTTCAGCAAAACCTCCAGGACCGAAATAAAAAGCAGTGGGGAAATTGGGCAACCTTGTCGTGTCCCTTTTTCTATCCTAAATTCTTCCGTCACCACATTATTTACAATTAATTTAGCCTTTTGTTCTGAATAAATTGCACTTATACCGTTTTCAAAGCCTTGGCCTACCCCCATACCCTGTAGGTTCTTCTTCATAAAACTCCAAGAAATATTGTCAAAAGCTTTCTCCGCGTCCACAAATATCAAAACTGCTTTAGTGTTTATGTTCACTTCTAGTTTCTCCAAAATGTCAATTATGTTCCTCATATTGTCAGACAAGTGTCTACCCGGGAGAAAGCCCGCTTGATCTTTATGAATCTCTTCCATCAACACTTTTTTCAATCTCTTAGCCAAAATGTCTGCAAAAATTTTGTAATCCACGGGTGGGGGATACTTTCAACACCTCATTCAGTATTTCAAAGGTCCTGTGTTTTCCCTAGCTTCCCCTCCGTTTCCCCCTATGTAGAATGAATATTAACTCTTTGGGAACAGGAGATAGCCTATCTGCTCATGATTGCTGTTATTCGGCATGAGAGAAAATCTATAAATCCAAATAGATATGTGGCAACAGTCTTTGGAAAGCTGAACTGTGGAAAATCCAGGAAAGGAAATGGAGTTTGATGTTACTCTTGGCAATTTCACTTTACATATGTGCCCTAAATCCATTTTTTTCTTGATAAGCTGGCAAGTAGGTGCTTATTGGGAGACTGCTATGTGCTTGGTGGTAAAATGATTTCTGCTTGAAGGAACACGATGTTCTGAAACTGTTTATCTTTCCTTTTTAAGATAAGATGCTGTAACAATAGTGTTTTCCTTCGAGGAATCCCTTTGCTGTCTTTTCACTAAAGAAAACCTACTTAATCTTCCATTCTTAGTAGTCAAAATGTCTCCTCTTGAGTGACATTATTCCAGAGCTGTGTAGAACATTGGCTATTCCTGCGTGGTTTGTTGTCCAGATGTATGGCAGAATGCCAGCTGGCAATCATGGTGGTCTTGCCATGAATAAGTGCTTCAGGGGAAACATTGCAATTCATCTGCAGACTTCTATTCATTCATTCTTCCTACCTACCTCACTGAGTTACGCTACTTCATTTATTTATAGATTAGAAAAAGCAATTTTAATAGGTTTTAATTACAATTCTATGTTACACCACTTTTACAGTCTGAAAAATCAAATGCATTTCCTTGCTAGTTTCTATATTGAAAGCATTTGTTGTAGTGGTCAACACAACATTACAAATCCCTTCTGGCTGTCTCTGTCAGTGTTATACATACAGCCGGGTGTATTTCTTATAGTTTTAAATCATAATGTTGGAGGCTTTTGAGTTCCTTTTGTCTAGCAGCACTTCTTTTCTAAAAAAATGTTTAGGGGTACTCTCAGTTTCCTACTCATATTGAAATACTGCCCCTCAATGAGGCCAAATTTAGATTCACAAAATGTTTAGGGGTATGTGTACCCCTGCATCCCCGTCCCCCCAGAAAAAAAGCACTGGATACATCTATTTGGCTATTTAGCTTTTTCCTTTTCCTTTTTGTAACTTCTGTGCTGACTGCAGTATGGCAGCATGCTTCATCTAATAGTATAAATTAAACATGGAAACTTTTGGCATCACACATTAGGGTACTTTTCCAGTAATGATACTTCATTAAAATGTATCTCAACATAAAACAATTATAATTATTCCAAGATGCTTCAGTTCTGTCAAAGCTACCAACTCCAGCTTATTAAATAATAAAATTCATCATTTTGAAAGACAGTATTAACAATACATTTTCTCTTGCTTAACATCAGCCACCAACTGACCATCTAGTAATCAACATGTTTGATCATATAGTTACGCTTTGGAAGTATTTTTCCTGTTAATTTGATATTTCATTTTAAAAATTCAAACAAAATAAAGGAATGCTTTTCTCTATTGTACAAATGTCATCAGTATTTAATACATACAAACTTCCTTATTTGTGAAGAATTAAAAACACCACCCAGCCTATTAAGCACTGGAACAGAGAGTTGGAATAAATAGACAATTCCCCCAACAGGGGGACGAAGAAAGTAGTGTCCCTCAAGAATCAGTGTTGGAAGCTCTGCTTTTTAACTTGTTTGGTAAATGATCTACAATTAGGGGCAAGCAGGAAGCTGGCAACGTTTGTTGATGGTACTGAATTGTTCAGCGTCATTAAAAAGGGACTGTAAAAAAACTCCAAAAGACTTCTCCAAACTGAGTGAATAGACTGTAAAATGGCAAATGCAATTTAATGTAAACAAGTGTAAATAGTGCATGTAGGCAAAAAAAATCTTAATTTGACATATGCATTCATGGGGTCTGACCAGGAATTAGACCTTGAAGTTGTAATACTATAGATGCTTCAATAAGCATGTTGACCCAGCATGCAGCAGCTGTGAACAAGGAAAATTCCATGCAAGGGATCATTAGGAACTGAATTGGGGGGGGGGGCGCTGCCATTATACAGTTAATTCGTTCCGGAGGTCTATTCTTAACCTGAAACTGTTCTTAACCTGAGGTACCACTTTAGCTAATGGGGCCTCCCGCTGCCGCCGCGAGATTTCTGTTCTCATCCTGAAGCAAAGTTCTTAACCCAAGGTACTATTTCTGGGTTAGCGGAGTCTGTAACCTGAAGCGTTTGTAACCCGAGGTACTCCTGTACAAATGTATGGTGTGACTGCATTTGGAATACTGTGTACAGTTTTGATCAGCAAACCTCAAAAAGAATATTGTAGAATTGGTAAGTGTTCCAAAAAGGGCAATAAAAATTATCAAGAGAACAGAGGGACTCCCTTGTGAGGAAAGGTTACAGAATAGGTGGCTTTTTAAGTTAGAGAAAAAGTGAGTAAGCAGTAATGGTATAGAAGTGTACAGTACTATCATTTCTTGCATGCAGATAATATTCCAGGGATGGCGTGTGTATGCAAAAATGTTTATACCTGAACAATCCCTTGGAACTGTCCCCACGTAACAATCTTTACCTTCCAAGCCTTATTTACTGAGCTCTGGGATGTTTTGTTCCCGCGAGAGCAGCCCAGAGCCCACTTGAGAATATCCCAGACTCCCAGAGCCCAGTAAGCAAGTCTGAGAGTTTAAAAGCTTTTTCCATGTTGAGAAAACCTGACACAAAATGAGCTTTTAAGCTCTTCAGTTTGTATGCAATTTGTGGGATTTCAACTATGCAAGGTCGAAAATTGTGCTAGCAAATTGCGCACAAGATGAGATTGTACTGTATACATTTACTCGTATGGAGAAAGTGGATAAAGAAAAGTTTTTCTCCCTCTGCACTAAAATTCATGGACATCCAATGAAGCTGAAGATTCAGGACACACAAAAGAAAGTTCTGTTTAATGCAGTGAAGGAGGCAGTTTTGGCAACTAACCTGGATGGCTTTAAAAGAAGATATTTGATGGAGGATCAGGCTATCAGTGGCTAGTAGCCATAACATAAAGCCTATTTTCTTGCTCCAGATTCAGAAGCAGTAAGCTTCTGAATAACAGTTGCTGAAAACCACAGGAGGGGGAGAGTTCTCTTGTGCTCATGTCATGCTTGCTGGCTTCCTATAGGCATATGGTTGACCACTGTGAGAAAAGGAAGCTGGACTGCATGGATCATTAGCTTGATCTAGTAGGCTGTTCTTAGATTCTTAAATACCATCTCCCAAGGACTTAGGGTGGTATCAATGGGATTGTTTATTTTTCAACAAACATGTGACAGAGTTTAGGAGGATTATGACTTGCCCAAGGTCCTGGCACTAGAAAATGTTCCTCGTATTTGAATTAAGGGGTGAGTGTCTCCTTGTGTCTGTGCTGATATTATAGGAAATGATCTTATGTTCTGCTATTGTGAAGCCAAGTAGAGAACTGGGCTTATAATTAGAAAGGATTTGTTGTAATCTTCTGATAATCCTTTAAAAGGGAATCATGATTTAGTGGCCTCTGGCAAGAAAATTCAGAGTGGAAATTACTTTTGAAATCAGGGTGTTAACTTCATTTCCTTACCTAGCCCCTAATAAGATTCTAATACAGTACAACTGTCCTTGAAATAAATGCCAGTTCCTTACATGCTACTATGTTCAGATTCATTGTTTGCTTGCTTCCTGAGAAAGTGGTCTGTTGCCCCCAAAGGCTAATGTCTCAAACTCATCAGTATGTTAAAACCGTGAAATTCATTTATACTAAATGCTCTTATTTTAGCTGAGATTCCCCACCCCCCCATGGCTGCAAAGTGGAGTTACTCTATAAACTAAAGCTACCCTTTCAATCTAATAGTTGGGTCACTATTGATAAATTAAGCTAGGTAATGAATTTTTCTTCTCTACTGTGGGTAAAATATACCCTAGTCCTTCCAAAGTGTAATATGCTTGAGGGACCTTGGGGGATATCCAGTATTACTCATGCTTAGAGTAGACATATTAATATCAGTGGACTTAAGTAAATTACATTCATTAATTTCAGTCGATCTGCTGAGTTGGACTTAGTTGTATATCACTTCTTATATTCTATAAAGTATTATGAAGTATATTATTATATTGTAAACTTGTTGACAGATATATTTCCCAGTCTGTTTCTGTATTGGAGATGTTGTTAATATGTTTTAATTGTTTTATTGCTTGTGTGTTTGGTGTCTAGGAAACTTTGGGGTAATGGGCAGGATAGAAATTCAATAAATAATCACTCGGTTCACTTGACATGTTTATAAATTATTTATGCATAAATTTATTATGAAGTGTCTAAAATGGTTATGTGATGAATAAGGGAGTATTGAAACTCTACTTAAAAGGCTTGTTGAAAGAGGTAGGTCTTCAGTAGGCTCCAAAAAACAACAGAGATTAAGCCTGTCCAATATTTAATGGGAAGGGTTTCCAGTTCTTATATCATGCAGAATGGTCCTCCTGATAATATGATATCTTCAGGATGTCCTTTCTTGCAGAGCATAGTGATTGATTGAGTATATCAATATGAGACTAAATTTTACATATTCTGATCTCAAACCATATAGGGCTTTATACATCAGAATGATACTTTGAACTTAGCGTGGCAGCTAATTGGCAGCCAGTTTAATACTTTTCAACAGCAGCATAACATGGCGATAGCCAGCCCCAGTGACTGCAACTGGTGTGGGTCCAGTTGCAACCATGTGGAGATCTCTGGATGCCAGGTTGGCAACTCACATCTCCAGGTTTCTTAAGCAGGTAGGCAGAAGAGCTTATTTGTTGCATTTTTATCTCACCTTTTTCTCAAAGGAATACATGGTTCACCCTCCCCTCCTCAGTTAATGCCTACAACAACCCTGTGAGGTAGGTTCAGATGCTGTGACTGGCCCAAGGTGAGCTTCATGATTGAGTGGGGATTTGAACCCTGATCTCCCAAGTCCTAGTTCATCACACTAACCACTACACCACACTGGCTTCCTATAATACTACTGGTATGGGTGACGTTTAGTAAAACTACATCATTTGAGTATTTGGTTACTGGTATTCGGTTACTGGTATGATTCAGGGGCAGGTGGGATCAACACTGAAACTTAATTACTGCTTTACAAGCAGACAGGCAGTTTACTATGTGCTTATGAATAGGAAAAGTTGCATGTGATGAGAATTGGGCAGTGACTCACATGTGAGTGCCTTCTACAAGAATGCATGATGGGCATGTTTGCTGGGAATATGATTGAAAACAAATTTCAGTGCAGTGGTATGTTCTTGGCTTTCTGTTTCTGTGTGGTGACTGTTAGTATGCTGACTCACTAACTGATGGGTGGTAACTGGTGAACTACATACAATCTGACTTAGAAATGATTCAGTTGTCTTCCTGAAAACACTTCTGTGGTAACACTGCTATCTTGTGCCAGTGTTTTCATGTACACATTTGCTTGTTCCTTCTCACATTGATATTTCCAGTTGTAACTTATATATCCTTGATGAGATTTGGTGTTCATCATTTTTTATGAGGATTTCCTCAAATTCTTCCTAAATTGGCTAGCTAAATTATTGGGGGGGGGGGGAGTCTGATTTGAAAAAATTCTAATCAAGGCTTCTTTGTAATTTAGATCTGTTTATGATCATAATCATGAGTAAATACTGTTGCCAATGCCATTAATTAAATCTCATCATCATTAAGTAAGTACCATTTATTTTCCTTCTTTTGAATTTTGTAATCACTCTTTTTATTGTGGATTATCCGCAATCCATACAATGGGAGATTTGGGTGGATTTAACCTAGAGTTAAGGTCATCTCAATTCTTTCAGAAGTTAGATATTAAGGTGTCTTCATTGATTAACAGAATTAAGCACCTACCAGCATATTTGCAAGTGTCCTCAGATGTAGCTGATGAAGAATGAATTGTTAAAACAACTTTGTACAAGTACATTTTCATTGGCTAATTATTTCTGAGACATACCAAAACTACTCCCTCATTTTGGCAGCAACTGTCAGGCAATGGCTTATAGTGATTTGGATGTGTGTTCAGGTAACTTTATTTGATAGCTGGTTTATTTTCAAAGATTAAATTGGCATGGTGAGTGATATGACAGCTGCAAACCAAAAATAGTCTTAGAAATGAAGAGGAAACAGTTTTTTATCTTAAAAAAGGAAATGTGGTCAAACGGCTTCAGCAATAACAGCAGACAGTTTTGCTTCTTACAAAATGTGCCCCCTACTTTCCCTGATAGAGGAAATTACAATAACATGATTTAAAGGGATGTTTGGAGGAAGAAAAAGTCAGAGCAAGGGTTCACTAGAGGTGGTTTATGCACTTGCTACAACTGGCAAGAAAGTTACAGGAATTTCAAGTTGAGGAGGGATCACTGTAGGGATGGGTAAAATATTATTCTACAAGTTTAAGAGACACACATTTCAATATATTCTAGTTTGTAGCAATATTATCAGACTAAAGCAATCAGAAAATATGCGTCCTTCAGACAGAAAAATGCAATGGAGTGTATGTAAGAGCATCAAATAAAATAAAACGGGAGCATGGAAAATCATGGAATTTAAAAGAAATCAAGACACCTACAGTTCTCAAATATCTGCAGCCAGATGAATTTCTGATATTTGGCTTCTGAAAATGCAAACTCAGCCATGGACTTTATGATACGGACTCTAATTGCAATTTTTAGAGCTTGCCTTGCCTCTGTTGTTGTTATTACTGTTATTACTATTACTCTGTTGTTGTTATATCATGGCGCACACTTTTTTTTATCTGAAACCTATTAATCTCTCTCTTTTGCATGTGTAATCTTTTTACCATAGTCAGTACAGTGGACACTCAGGTTGCGAACATGATCCATGCAGGAAGCACGTTCGCAACCTGCAGCGCCGCATCTGCACACTCGCGGGTCGCGATTCAATGTTTCTGTGCATGTGCAAAGCGCGATTTATGCACAAGTGCCGAAACCCAGAAGTAACCCGTTCCGGTACTTCCGGTTTGGCACGGTGCGCAACCCAAAGCATCTGTAACCCGAGGTATGACTGTAGCTCTGTCTGTTACTTCGTTCCTTTATTTCTTGTGTCAAATGTATTTAATTTCCCCTCCTCTTGTTCTTCAGGCTCTCTGTTCTGTCTTCCCATTTGTTCTTCTTTTTCATCATTGAGTTCAGCAGACACCACACACACAAAGCAATTTATCTGTTTTATATAAATACCACCTTTTCTCCAAGGAGTTCAAGGTGTCATACATGGTTCTCCCCATTCAGTCTTCACAGCAACCATGTGAGCGTAGGTTAGACCAATAGATAGTGGCTGGCCCACGGTTCCCTGTGATTTTCATTACCCAGTGGGGATTTGAACCCAGGGCCTAATCCAACACACTAACCACTGCATAACTAGTGACTTACTGACGTTGTTGCTGTTTGCAGCATGGACAGTTGACTGAAATAGTTTAGAACCGATAGCAACTCCGCCACTTGTCTCTGGATCTACAGAGGGGGATAATTTGTACACCATTTAACAAATGAATTGTCCCATTTTCCTCCCTTCCCTATAGCTGTTGATCTCAGGTATGCTGCAGGTGTTTTCATGTAGAGGTGGGGAAGGAATGCAGGTATGGTTATTCAGAAGTATTAGTAGCATAATAATCTGATAATAACATGATTATCAGCATGCTTCACTGTTAGGCTCCCTCCCCCTTTCCAGTCTTGTTTGCTTGCATCAGTAAAAAAGTTCCCTTAATAACTTTCCTGTTGAGAGAGTCACAGTTAGAAATTGAACTCAACTGATCTTGGCAGACATTTAATGCTCCTACTGGCAGGATCAGTTTCAAAAACAATCACAACTCATTTTTCATGCTGTCTTCACAACTGTTGGCAATGCAAACAGGGATTTAACTCCCACTCAAAATATAAACGCTGTAATCTGTATTACATACTACAGATCTCATTTCAACCTCCTTAGTGACAAGTTAAAGGAAAGCCTCGGAAAATGCATTTTACCATATATATTTCCACTTAATTGTTAGGCCCTGTTAATGTCACTTAATGCCTTCTGCAGGTGTGTCTCTAACTATGGAGATCAGGTTCATGCCACCTGCCATGCAAGAAGACTGATGGATCAGACCAAAGTCCTGTCTAATTCAGCATTCTGTTCCCACAGTAGCCAACCAGGTGCCAACCAGCAGCAACTGGTATTCAGAGATATGCTGCCTCTGATACTGCAGATAATATATAGCAATGACTAATAGCAATTGATAGCCTATTCTTCTATACAATTTCTCATCATGTTGTAAAGCTGCCCAAGCTGACAGCCAGCTTGGCCCATAGAGTAGCCTGATTGCTGTCTCTTGATTTTGAGAGGCAACAGTTGTACAGATTAGGCCTATGTGTTTTGGGCTACATATGTATAAACTTCTACAGTCATACCTTGGGTTACAGCAGCTTCAGGTTGCCTTTTTTTGGGTTACGGACCACTGAAACCCAGAAGTACCGGAACGGGTTACTTCTGGGTTTCGGTGGTCGTGCATATGCAGAAGTGCTAAATCGCGCTTTGCGCATGAGCACTGGATTACAACCCACGCGTGCGCAGACGCGGGTTGCAAACACTGTGGGTTGTGAACATGCATCCCACACGCTTAAGCCTGGGGTAACTTAGCTGTGTCACCTTGACTGTTTTGCAACTATTTGGAGGCAAGAGTTTTAACTTACAAGCAGTTTCTGGGAACATCATTTATTGTGCCAAACTCATTGCAAGGATAAGCTCTTTCAGTAAAGCATTCAAGATTTGAGCAATTTGGGCAAATGTCCAAATGTTAGAAGTATACTCTCCTTACAAACTTGTTTATTTCATGATTCTTGCTTACTACTAAGAATTCCTTTACTTTAAATCTAATTGGCAAAATGATGTGGCCACTTGTATGTGCATGGTATATTTGCATAGTTGTATGATATTTGCAAGAAGCAAAAAACTATAAATTCAAAATCTAAGTTCACTTCTTTCAGTGACCGTTTTTAGTGCTACCAGGTGTCACATATTTGAAGCTGATAAAAGTTGCAGTGTTCATGATGGTAGTTCTACATCTAGAATAGTGTTATGGAAAGCAGATGAGAAAAAATAGATAGCTCCATGAGTAATTACGTAAGAGAGATTGTTTTGGTCACTTTCTTGCTGGCAGGTTAAAACAATATTTGGATATAGTGAAAATGGGGAATACCCTTTTAAGGCTCATCAAAGTACATAACCGTTGCTGAATGTAACAGGGATTTTCTCTATTCCTCTTCCCTTCTCCACAGCTGTTCCCTCTCTAGCATGCAAATTACTCCCTGCTACCCTTAACTGTGATTCATTGTTCTGTCTACATAGATTTTAACCGTGGTTAACATTAACCGTTGTGTGATTATGGTGTAGGATTTGAAGCTAACTTCATTGTTGGCAGTTAATTATGCTCAAAATAATTTGGCACATGTGACTCATGACTTAAATAAATCTCTACGTATGCTGGGTTGAAAAGACTTCATTACAATGGTTGGAGCAAGCTGGTTGAAAAAAACTCTTCCTCCACCATTGGTTCCCTTCTTTTCAGTCACACTCCTTTTTCTTTGATGCTTCTCTCCCCCACTCCATACGGTGGTCATTTTATTTTCCTTATTTGCCAATTTCCTCTCATGCCTCTTTTGCTGCCACCACTACATATCTGGTAGCTGAGCTGAAAAAAACTCATGATAAGGTCTAACCATTTGCTGCTTTAGGTTGGCACCATCTTTTCCAGGTAGACTCTGCTATATTAAACCTACCATGGTCATATTGGTTGGGCTTTTCACCTGCCACTAGAGGTGGTGACAGTACCTCTGCTGGTGCAGAAGTAAGGGGAGGACAGGTAGGCAGACAGCAAGGAAGGGGGAGGGAGCTTAGAATCTGGTGACCTAGTCATGGCACAGACATACTACTTTCAGTGACTGGGTCAGCCCTGATTGAAACTACCATGGGTATGAGGTTTGTTTTGGCTTTCAATGTGACAAATAAATACAATGTTGAAAACTATGTGTTTTTATTAATTTGCTTTTATATTACATTTTCCACTGGTATGCTCAAAATGGCTGACAAAATTACAATTGAATATACACAATGTCTTTGCATGTCTTGGTAAGCCATGAACACACAGATCATCCCCACTTCACTCCTCCTCACTACTGAGCAAGAGCAAGAAATTAGGATCTTTGGCTTAGCAGAGCATATGAAGGCTTATTCTTAGCTTACTAGTTATAGTCTGTTTGAACGAAACAAACTATGATCCTCATTTCACAAGAAATACTAAGTTAAAAGTTGTAGTTTATTGCTCTTCATACTAACAGGGATGAGTGAAATGGGAGTGAACTTTGCATTCACAGTAAATTATCAGCCATGGCTTACCTGTAATGACCATGAGTGTTGATTCATACCTATGCAAACAGTCTGCATTATCAGTATATGTCTTCTTATATTTCAGGTCTACCTAAAAGCGCCTATGATTCTTAATGGTGTTTGTGTTATTTGGAAAGGCTGGATAGATCTCCAAAGACTGGATGGCATGGGCTGCTTAGAATTTGATGAAGAACGGGCACAGGTAAAGTAGGGAGCTTCAAACTTCTCAAATCTCAGTTATATTAGATGTGAAGCAAAATTTGTAATTTTGGTATGCAGTACTTTATAACTTTGGATGGGGAAATTGTATAATGAGAAATTGAAAGCATAAGCAGGATCACTGTTTGGATTTAGTTGTTGCATCTTCAATCACATATGATCAGCATATTTCAGTCTGCCTTTTGGTCCAAGGAAGAAGTCTCCCCACTCTCCACTGTTTTCCTTCAAAGAAAAGAAGATAGTAGAGAGTAGAAAAACTTCTGTTGTGTTCTTTCAGTTTCCCTTGTTCTTTCTAGGAGGTCTGCCTTTGGTCTTAACTTCTTTATCTTTTCCCCTTTGCGTTTCTGAACTTCCTTGTCCATAATTTAAAATGCATGCAAACCCTGTGCTTTCTAGTTCCATAGCCATCCTGCTTATTCTGTAGTTAAATGGAAGGAAAACTGAAGCTTGCTTATACCTACTTGGGTAGCAGTAGGTTCACTTGCACTTGGGGCATTGAATTCATTAAGAAACCCTGACAATTCGGCAACATAAAGCCTCTTATTGACCTAGACCTTGTATTAGGCTTTTATTTGATGCTTCCATCTCATTCTCTTTTCTCAACTTTGGCCCTCCACCACCTCTTTTTCCTATAGTTCTGTACCTAATCCATGCATATTTTATCCAGGCCACTCCTTCTTTTGTCTATGACCTAGTTTTCACAACTAACCTAGCACGCCTGACTCCTCACCTCCTCTGTCTTTTCATCCCATGAAATGCTAGAAACTGAAACAGTGGCAGATGCAAGGCTCACAGGTGACAATAAGTAGTTTTCTTAATAGAAAAATAATTGTCTTTGAATATAATTACATGGGAAGAGCCTGCTGGACCATGTAGTTTGGCATCCTGATGCCCATGGGAAACCCACAAGGCAGATTTGAGCACAGGACACTCTTCCCTCCTGTGGTTTCCAGCAAGGGATTTTTAGAAGCATTGCTACCTCCAACTGCAGAAGCAGAGGATACCCATCATGGCTAGTAGCAGTCAGTAGCCCTCTCCTCCATAAATTTGTCTAATCCTCTTTTGAAGCCATCTAAGTTGATCGCCATAGTTGAACAATGCATGGTATGAAGTAGCACTTCCTTTTTTCTGTCCTGAATCTTCCAGCAACCAGCTTCATGGGATGTCCATGAGTTCTAGTGATATAAGAGAGGGAGAATTTTTTTTCTGTAACCACTTTCTCCATATGGCACCCTATTTTATATCATCTTGCCTCTTCTCAATGAAATGAAAAAGTCCCAAACGCTGCAACCTTTCCTCACAGGGGAGTCACTTCACCCCCTTGATTGTTTTGGGTACCCTTTTCTGAACCTTTTTCCAACTCTACAATATCTTTTTTCAAGTAAAGTGATCAGAACTATACCCCAGTATTCCAAATCTGTTCACACCCTAGATTTACATAATGTCATTATGATGTCCTCAGTTTGGATTTAATTACTAATTAAAATATTTGTGCAGTTCACATCTATTTCACATAAAAGTCATAAAACAGCTTCTACCTGTGAAATGAATTCTTTTCTTAGAAAAAGAGGGCTTTTATTTAATTATGGCCTTTTATTGAACATCCTGCTTTCAGCTGTTTGGGTCTTGCTTCTCTATTAAAAGATATTGATTTTTTAAAAAAAAAATCAGATCCCTGAAAGACCTTGTATTATGCTGTTCCAACATAAAAATTGCCAAGGAGAGATGGAGCTGCTACTTAAAAATAGACCTTAATGAAAAATTTGCACATTGCCCTTTAGTGCATGCTGCTTGGGCCTAAGCTGATGTTTATTGATTGACAGATGTTTGTATTAAAACTAAGCAAGGCCACAGGGGGAACTCTTCCACATCATTTCACAAAATAGCTTTAGGGTGCAGGAAGTGCCCTAGGCAAAAAAGGCAATTTGACATTCTCTCACTACAGACATTTTATTTTAAAATTTAATGTACTTAGTCCCTTGGTATATTAAAATGTAGCTGGATTCTCTGGAGCAGGACTTATTTAACCTGCACATTTTTGCAAAGCCACACTATTAAAGGAAAATCATCATGCTGAATGTAGCATTCTGTACTTTGACAAATGTAGTTTAAAAGTTTTGATTATTTAAAAAAAAAAACTATTACAAGAGACAAGATGAAGAAGAAAGAGTGTAATTCTGCCTGGAAAAAGTGCAAGAGAATTTCACTTTATTGCATATTGTTAGACAAGTAGTTCTTTAATATAGGTCAATTAGTTTGTGGGGAGGACCAAAAAAAGAAACTTGAACAACCTCGCTGCAACTATTAGAAATAAGTGTTCTGAAGAACATTTAGAAATGTCTTTAAATTTTAAAACTTGGTGGAAAATAATGTAACTTTGGTGTATGATATTTCTAGACTTACTCTTTTTGTATTCTGATTTGCATATTATATTGCAATTCATATTTAAGTACATCATGCTAACATGTTTTCAGAGTCCAATATCTTTTAGTGGGTCTTAGTTATCACCTTTTGTCATATTACAACATTTACCTAACATAGCTATCTATCTATCTAAAGAAGGTGCTATCCTCTGCTCACATGCAGAAGATTCACATAGAGCTTCTTGGTTGCCTCTCTTAATGCTGCTTTGGTGACATAGGCCCTTCCTAACACCCTCTCCCTCAGTGACCTCTTTATGGCACAGCCTTTTTCCTCAGCTGGCATATTGCCAGTGCACGCACTGTCTTGTCCTGTTTCCTGTTTTCAGGATGAGCAGGACACCATGTCCTCTTCTTCCTTCCCTCTCTAATGATATGGTATGGGTGCTCTGAGAAAAAGCACAGGGCTCTCTCTAGTCATCTGAACAGGAGTCTCTATGGTTCTGAGTCAATGTGAGGAGAGGAAAAACACTAGGACTATCCAGCAGACCCTTCCTGTGCAATTTCAGCTAACCATGAAGCATTGGGAAATGCCTGCTCCTGCTGGCCAGCAGCAACACCAGCAGACTTCCAGCAGCAGAGCCATTGCTTCCAACTGGTCTGAGGAAGGGTGGTTTTCCCTTTGTACTCAGACAGGGAGAAGGGGGAGCTGTTGACTGATGACGATGTAACAGCACCTGCTGCTCCTCCTTTCCCGTTTTCTGCTGAGGCTTTCAGTACTCTCTGTAATGCCCATAAAACTTTGAAGATTTCTCTACCCAAGCATTTTTTGGGGGGGAGGCTGAGGAGGAGGAAGTATTTGAAGTGAGGGCTACCCCTGATGTCTAGCCAAATGTCCTTTTTCCTTCCAGTTTTAAGAAGACCATTTCTATAGGAGTGGGCCAAACCTAATGGGGTGCGCTATTGGGCTTGGCTCCTAAGAGGCTTTGCTCCTTGCCAGTGTGGTGTAGTGGTTAAGAGCGGTAGTCTCGTAATCTGGGGAACCGGGTTTGCGTCTCCACTCCTCCACATGCAGCTGCTGGGTGACCTTGGGCTAGTCACACCTCTTTGAAGTCTCTCAGCCCCACTCACCTCACAGAGTGTTTGTTGTGGGGGAGGAAGGGAAAGGAGAATGTTAGCCGCTTTGAGACTCCTTAAAGGGAGCGAAAGGCAGGATATCAAATCCAAACTCTTCTATATATTTTTTTTTTTTAAAGCAATTTATTGGGTTTTACAATAGGAATAAATGTAATAAACAATATAGCATTCGTCTTAACATAATTTCACATTTTCTTTGGACTTCCTCACATCTCCCGCTCCCACCTTCATCATTATAACATTTTGTCAGCAATTTATCATCTTATTTAAATTCTTATATCTCTTCGATATTTCATAATCTTAAAGTTCTCATAAAGAGTTAAACTTTCACAACTTTTCTTGTTTCCTTAAAAATTTCTAAGTTAAGTGGTGCTCAGTTATTTAGTCCAGCATCTTATTCAGCATTCAATCAAATCACAATGTTTTTGTAGGTAGTTCTTAAATTTCTTCCAGTCCTCCTCGATTCTCTCTTCTCCCAGGTCACGGATTCTGCCAGTCATTTCAGCCAGTTGCATATAGTCTATCAGTTGCATCTGCCATTCTTCCAGTGTCCAAACTCTTCTATATAGCATGGCAAAGTTCAAGGTTTCTTTGGTAGATGCCCCATTTCCCCTATTACTTCTGGCCTGGTGGCTGCCAGAGACATAGGTATGATTTCCCCAAGAATGTAGTGGATAGGTGTCCTGAAGTCTTTCACCATAGGGCACATGAGGTCATGCCTCTGGTAGTGAGGGGCATTGCCGCTTCTTCTGTGGTGGCATGGTGGGCTTCCTTTTCACTCCTTGAGGAGGTACCCTGTGGTTGCCATAATCTCTGCCAGGGTCTTCATAAACCAAAGAAAGATTTTGCCTTTATGATGGATGTGGGGCTGGATGCCATGCAGTTTGCCACCAGGGCTATGGCTACTGATGTGGCCATTGGGAGTCACCTGTGGCTCAAGACCTGGAATGTTGATGCAATATCCAAAACTAATCTGGCAACTGGGCATTTCTTGAGGGAGGGAATATGTGGGGATCCTCTGGAGGAATATCTGATGGAGACCAAGAACAAGAAGACACTATCTTCAGGGTCTAAGGAGGAGGAGGAGGAGGAGGAGAGATGTCACTTAGAGCAAATCTTTTTGCCCCTTTTGGGTGCTTATGGTCCCAAAAAAAATAGCAGGAGCCAGTGGTACCAGTGCAGGGAGCAGGGAGAGGCAGAGATTTTCCTCTTCGTGATTCTGCATGATTAGTAGCTCATCTCTTTAGGTGGTCTTGTTGCTCCGTTTCTTTAAAATAAAGTCACCTAAATCCAGTGGTTGCCCTTATGGTGTGGCAAAGCTGCCCTCCCAATAGTAGCATTAATAGGATAGGACTGCACAGGTACACCAACAGAGCCACTGCAGTGCTCATGCTGGTGTGCTCATGCAGTCTTCATCTCACCAAAGTCTGCCCCATATAGATAAGCTATGTCAGTGTTGGGAGGGCCATGCCACAGCCCACTACTGCCTAAATGATGTCTAGAGGTGAGCAATTGGAGAGGTCTTCCCCCCAAATCAGTGTAAAGGTGCTTCTTGTGTGACCCTGTACTTTTGGTTGGTAGCAGGAAGATGCATTGGCACAGCAGGCTTTTGAAGAAGCTCGGAGAAGAACTCGTGAATTCGAGGACAGAGACAGGTCTCATCGGGAAGAAATGGAGGTGAGAGTTTCACAGCTGCTGTCAGTTACTGGTTAGTACTCTACCAAAAATCTAGATTTTTTTTCTCAATAAACTACTGCCTGGAGCATGTTGCTAAAATCTTATGTTTTATTTTGATGTTGTCATTTTAATGAATCCTGTTTGGGTTGAAAGCATTATATTAGTACATTAAGGGTACAAATTCTTCAATCAGTGCAATTTTGCCACTTGAAAGTACATAGCTGCTGATCTTAGAATCCCTAAAGTTAAAACAAATTTTAATTTAAAATGATCTAATCCAGCATTGTTAACTTTCACCTCTTGGACAAAGTAATTCAGACTGTGTGCCCTATTTCTGCATATGCCACAGTAGTTACTACATATGATAGAATTTTGCATTGAATTATGTATGTACATTGTTAAATAAAGAACCAAAGTTTGTCCTATCAATGGTACAGTAGACTGGCAGATTTATTTTTTTATAGAGCAATGGGGAAAAAGAGGCAAATGTGGTACATATCTGTTGGGCAGTATACACATATACGGGACGTGGGTGGCGCAGGGACGCAGGTGGTGCTGTGGGTTAAACCACAGAGCCTAGGACTTGCCAATCAGAAGGTCGGCGGTTTGAATCCCCGTGACAGGATGAGCTCCCATTGCTCGGTCCCTGCTCCTGCCAACCTAGCAGTTTGAAAGTACGTCACAGTGCAAGTAGATAAATAGGTACCGCTCCGGCAGGAAGGTAAACGGCATTTCCGTGCACTGCTCTGGTTCGCCAGAAGCGGCTTAGTCATGCTGGCCACATGACCCGGAAGCTGTATGCCAGCTCCCTCAGCCAATAAAGCGAGATGAGCGCCAGAACCCCAGAGTCGGCCACGACTGGACCTAATGGTCAGGGGTCCCTTTACCTTTACCTTTATACACATATACATACATACATACATACTTGGGAAGTAATACTTGTTTAAAAATACTTCAAAACCAATTTAAATATTCTTCCCCTTGTTCATTTCCCCCCAACTTTAATACATTTTTAGAAGTAGTCTTGATCATGGAGTAAATGAAAAGATTATCTTGGCTAGCTTCAGCATTGCTTCTATTTTCATAGAGGGAAGATATAGAAAAGTTTCTTTTAAAAAATCAAACCATGAAACACTGCTTTTTTCACATACATATACAAAGTAGACCACTTAAAGTCTGGAACGATGAAGATTGAAAGTTTCATTGTTATAAATCATACCTTGAGCTGCTGCAAAGTCTGCATGTATATATATATATATATTTAAATCATGCATCGTTTAAATGTCTTTAATAGATACCACATTTGAGTTCAGTGAAGACAGAGAAACCCTTGCAATACTTTGTCTGCCCCTACCAAAAGAGAGGCGCCAGCCCTTGGGAAGCATTCAGCCAAACCTTAGCAGCATATGAAAATGATCAGATTTTATTCTTTATTTATACAGCTTTCTTTCCTAGAAAAGATGTTCCTTTATTTTATAACATGCTGTGCAGCATTTTTTTAACTATTAAGAAGCCAGTAGATTATTACATCTGCAAAGAAATCCAACAAAAAATTCTTACTGAATCATTCAAACATAATCAGTCACATTTTGAATTTTATTTTATTTTAAAGGATAAATCAGCTGAACTGTTCTGGATTTATTAGAGCTACTATTGTTGATTACCACTTTAAGAAACTGCAAAAACATTTTTTTATAATCTTGCGTAAGTGGAAGATTTCACAAATAAAATTATAAGAGCATGTTCAAATAACATTTGTATAAAATAGCAAGTCAATTTTTAAAAAAATACAAGACTGACATGTGCTTACTTGAAAGGAGAAAATAGATGTACAACACAAATAATATGGAAACAAGTTATGGCACATGGCTTGAAACAGTATTTGAAAAATGTTTTCTAATTACAGCAGCCAATTAAAGTTTTTTTTCCCGAGCAAATAAGTTATATTAGTTATTGATTAAGTTTACACATCTGTGTTAAATGAAGCTGAGATTTTTTTCAGCCGCTGAATTCTGCTGTTGGTACCTATTCTGCTGCTTTTCTGCCCTTTCAAAGAATTGCATAATACGCCAACCTAAACAAAGTCCAACATTTCTGGAACTGCAGGGCAAACTAAAATTTTATGCTAAACAGCTCATCCAGCAGCCTTCAGTCTCTGTAGCAGGGATTGAGAGTTGAACTAAAAGTACTTTGCATATCTCTCTGTCTCTGCTTATGGACAAGCCTGCACAAAATAAGCATATTTGCATACATCTGCTTAATATGCAAATTTTATATAAGCCATTGAAATGAGTTTTTCATGGTACAGAATAAAGAATATTAGGCCCTTATGCTATTTGATAGCTGTTCTTTATGACAGAAGGTTGACAGTTTGAGAGCAGGAAGGATGATAAAAATAAATGACAAAATCATTTTCAGCAAAGCATCTTTGATTCTTTGCTGGTCATGCTTCAATAAGCATAATATGGCAAAATGTCCAAATCAGTTCAGACAAGAACATTACAAATGCTCTGTTTACTGTATATACTTTTGGCTGACGTCATGGACAGGCGATTTCCCAGTGTATTTGTTAATATTGTGGTAGCACTCTCCTACCCCAGCATAGAGGGAATCTGACAAAAAGTTGTTTTCTGTTGTTGAAAGACAGTAAATGTGCTAAAGTTGCCAAACTCTTTTCCTATCCTAATGTTTTGTATAATTTTAGTAAAAACAACCAAAATAACAGTCAAAGCTTTAAAGGCGTACCTATTTAACAAATGTATGTTAAATTAAATGTTCTAATTATCACTAGCTGCAATTTATTTTGCATATAACTGCCAACTAAGATTTCACTTCATGCTTCTGATAAAGCAGGCTTCAGTCCACAAAAGCTTATGCCAGAACTGTCTTCAAGATGTCACAAGAATCCTAGAAACAAACCCCTCTGAATTATTAAAAAACAACAACCCAGAGTTTTGCAGATAAAAGTAGCTGTAGAAATAGAATTCAAAATGGCTCAGATGATGCTTTTCATTGGACCAGTTGTGTCTAGGAGAGGAGGAAAGCAAGCTTTCAACATGCAGCCTGGAGGCATCAGAAAGAAGAACGCAATCCAGAGTATGAATATAAGAAATAAATATGTCTTACCCCTTGATGGATTTTTGAATGGAGAGATTGAGAAGCTGGCATCTAACATCAGAATACATGGTGATGGAAACATTACTTTGCATGCTTTAAAATACTGAAATTACCAGTTGGCCATTTCCTTTAATAAGGAAACTTTATCACAACATGAAATTGTAGCTGAAAATTGAATCCTAGCCACCTAATACTTTTTCCAGTTTCGCTCGTATCATATCTTTATGTCTGTGAAAGGCAGCTAAATATCCTACCTTTCTTATGGGTTTTTCCCACTAGGATAAAATGTACTTTCACTAGAGAAAGTATTGTTTCATGTGTGGTGGAGATGCTATAAATATATAATTACTATTGATCACTGTCAGTCACTGTCTCGCTGATGCTCAGCCTCTTTCTAACCTGCATTGACTGGAAGAAGTTGCTTATATTACAATATTGCTTGACTTGCAAAATTGATCTGCATGATACCACACTCAGCATTGATTTTGGACAAAATGTAAAAGGGTTTCTTAGTATGGCATTCAGTTGCACTTTTTATGTATACCATTTGCTGCTAGATAACATTTTTACAGTGCAATCCTGTGTGTGCTTACTCAGAAGTAAGTTCCAATATGTTCAGTGGGGCTTACTCCTAGGAAAGTTGGATTGCAGCCATAAACAAATAAGGCTGTGCTATTCTGTTGCCATAATGTATGAGAGAAAGTGAACCTTGATTCTGCTTAAGTAACACAGAAGTTTATTTTCCCCCAAAGCATTTCAGTAACAAAACAAAAATGCTTTTGTTTTGAAATGCTGATACATGTGACTTAATACTGTATATCTGTAAATATTTTATTTTGCATTTTTAAAGAAATGCCAAATTGAAATTTACTGTGATACAATTCAAGTTATTTGACATTGCAGTATGTATCTGCCATCACCATCACATTCCAGTGCTTGAATACCCTTAGCAAAATGGTTGTCGCCACTGTCTATTGTCTTTCCCACTGCATTTTGAAAAAAGTTTCCTTATCTGAACTACCTTTTCATTCAGTTTTTCTTTGCCATTTGTGAAACAGCATGAAAAACGTGCTTCTTACACAAAAAGCTGTGTTTGGTGTCAATTGAAAATGAATGACCCTTACAATGAAAGTCACTATTTTTTCCTTTTAAGTAGTGATTTATATCCAGGGTACACTCTTCATATCTCTCGTGGATAACGAAAGGTCATATAAAAAGCAGCTCTTAGCCTCACATCATCTACTTCTAGTACAGATTTGGACATTTCCCCACATCAGGTGGGGCAATGACATTTATGTACAAATTGAGAGAACAGATTTGAATTTTCTGTGGTTTCGCAGAGAATTCTGGATTATACTTGGTTTGTAAAGCCACACACATTAAAAGAAGCACAAGAAGCTAAGGAACTCCAGTAAGAGCACCTTAAATTGTGTCTCTCTGGTAGCTGCCTGCCTAATCTGCCTGTACCATCTGCAGCAGTTGCCATGAACTGGGTCATTGGGACTTCTTTGTTCATGCTGAAAATTGATTAACAGTACAAACTAGGTGCAGTTGCTAAGGTTGAATTTCATACACTCAGACCATGAAACAAAGAACTGTCTGTAAAACACTGTTTATTTAGCATAACAGAACTAAAGCTTGATTTGTATGTATGGAATCTTGCCTTATTTATTTGCTTTGCTAACTTGAATTGCTTAAACAGTTAATTTATAATTTTTCATTTTGAGGTAGCCAAGACAATAATATGCAGGTTGAGAGTTAATTTAACTAAAAATCATTTTACAATTTCTGACACATTCAGGACCCCACAAGACAACTCCCCTGGTTCCGGCCAATGTCTAATCATAACTAGATGCCTATGATGGTCTTTGTGCTTTTACTAATGTACATTTTTGAGTTTGGCTAACAGGCACGATCTAGCAAGAGTAGAACCCTTTTTTTAGTTCAACTTACGTTACAGTGATGTGTTTTAATGGCCTCTACATTGTACTGCCTCTCTCTTCCCCACTTCTTCCCTTCTTTTTTTCTTTATTCTTTTTTCTAAATACTGAGGACCAATTGATATATAATAATTACCAAGGCCTGTCCCAAGGTATTTTTTCCCTTAGGAAACTGCCAGTAAAACTTGATTCCATGGTATGATGCATTCCACCAGATCGGGGTTCTCAGCTTCTTAAACACTGAGAACCAAATAGTGCAATGAAGTAATACGTTACAAGAAAAATATATCTGCCTATATCAATCTGAAGTTCTGTCAGGTAGTACTAATATAGAGGTGTTTGCTTTTTTGAAGAAAAAACATTAATATGATACACAAACATGTTATCTTGGTTTTCAGCACAGTCTTGGGCTACAGAAAAGGTCCGGGGCGAGATTTCCTAAGGGAAGGGTACTTTAGGATTCAGATGGGCAATGAAGACCACCAAAGTTGCTCCTTAACAGGTTTTTCATTAACAGGATGAGGAAAATAAAGAACAAAGCATGAGGAAACAGACAAAATCTTATTGTCCCTTCTATTGCCAGAGAATCATTTCCCTTCTTCTGGTGGCAACTGGTCAAACTCCTTATAGGCAATTTGTGCAGCATCAGTGTTGACAACTGTCTTCACTGAGATTTCCACTGGCCCTTGGTGGGCTTGGGCCTGATATAAACACTTGAGCACTTGTTCTTGGGGTCAGCTTCCCAAGACCTTGTCTATGATTATCTGGCAAGGCCAGAGGAATAGTCATAACAAACAGCAGACGCCGCTTTTCTTTACCAACAAAGAGTGCAACTGTTAGAAGGAGAGATTTGCAGCTCCTTGTAGCATACAGGAAAAAAATGCTGCGACTGATTTCATTTTGAGGCTCTTTCGTATAAAAATATGATATCCAACTGTGGCATCCCACCTGCACAGCAAGCTTCTGCTTTTGCAAAAGGTGCTTCCTTTTTCTCTTCTCCCTCCTTCAGCTTCCAGTCTGCCCCTAAAATCTATTTCAGCAGGTTGGGGAATCCTCCAGAGCAGATGTGGGGTGGGGAGAGGAGTTGCACCTTTCACCTTCGTTGCATATCTTTAGGCGCCATGCAAAAGCAGTCCTCCCAGGCCTTTGGCTAACTGGGGGAGTATTGTTTTTATTTGTTACTATGTTATGTATTTTTGTTTTTATATCGTAAACTGGTCTGTGATTCTCAAATGAAGAGTGGTAGAGAAATATTATTGTTATTTCTAGTTTTGCTTAATGATGTTTGCTTAACTTTTTAAATGAAATTCATTTTTTCAATGAAAGCAGGTTGTTAGAAATGTCACTTGCCATTTAATAAATGCATCCTTAGTGCTGTTTTTAAGTTTTTGTCAATTTCCTCTTTTTTTCTTTCTGAACAGAATCAATACTAGCCCAGGTCAGACATAAGGGGAACCACTGGTTTCCCCTCTATGACTGAACTGGGCCACTGTTTCCTTCATGATTTATAAATTCTTGTCTCAGCAAAGCCAAAAAATGACTTCTACAGGTTTTCATAAGGTCTGGTTTTTATATTAGAATATTTGGATGAAGGTGAGTACCTGGAAATGGTCTTTATGCCCCCACTAAAAAGAAAAGTACAATTTCCATCCCTGTGGCGTATGTAGAAACTGCTTACAACCGAGTGACAGCAGTGGCAGAGGTGCTTGATCTTCCCTTTCCTAGGGTTAAGACTGCCACCTCACATTCTAATCCTTTTAACAGCTGGGAGAGCCAGCCCTGCTAGCTCTAGGGGGCCCTTTTTGATTTGAGGAAAAGTGTGCCATGGCCATTCTGGGGAAGAGCATGGGGACAGAGAGGACCATTTTTGTCAAGTATTCATAGTGTTGGTTTAGAATGAATATTGATATATACCATTTGAAACCATATTTTGCTTTAAAATATTCAATACATTTTAACTCTCTTCCTCCTTTCTCCACCTTTCCATGTTAATTCAGGCAAGAAGACAACAAGACCCTAGTCCTGGCTCAACCCTAGGAGGTGGTGATGATCTCAAACTGCGTTAAGTGAACAACGGCTGTGTGCCATAAGTGTGACGCTTAAACTTGGCAAATGATGGAATTAAAAGACCAGAAACTGTGATAACTGGGTATATACTATAGCCTATTCCCTGACATGCGGCAACCAAACTATCATGTCCCGCCATGGTTTGCACTATGTTTGTGTTGTATTATCTGCATTTCTTTTCTTTAAGCATGTTGCCAATGGGGATTTGAAATTCTTGTTTCTCTATGCAAGCTTATAATTTTGTTGGCACTATTTTAGTGACGAAAACAATTAATGCAGCTATAAAAACAATTCCTCAACTGTAATATTCATTCATTTCAGAATAGGTCAAACGTTGCAGAATAAAGCTTTTTGTGACTTTTTTAAAAAACAAAAACTTTCAAAATAATTTTTATATGGGCTTTTGGAAGTTTGTTTGTCATAGTGTTCTTGCTTTTACACATGCATTCTTTGTGGTATTGTCTTTTTATGCACTTTCTCTTCTCTAACTTTCAACACATTTTATTCTTTTTACATTATGCAGCCTAGACCAAGTAACAGTGTTGTCAATTGATTTGCTGAATTACATGTTTATAAACTTTTTTTAAAAAGCCACACTCCAATATACCATGAAATATTGTTAACTTAAAGCTAATGTTTTAGATGGCAAAATGTCTAAATGAGATTTTAATCTGTCCGCACGTTCTGTTTTAGATTCTGTTCTGCAGTTACTAGTTGTAGTTAATGTAGTTCAGATAACCTGCTGAAACTGATTGGAACTCATTGCAGTATGGCTCTTCAGGGACTCTGTAAAAATCTGAAATGGGATACTCCATCTTTCTGATTGCATTTGACATGAGTCTATGATGGCTGAGGGTGAAGCTGATATCTTGAATACAATCATGTTGAAAGTAGCTGCTTAACTCTTTTTGTATCCTATTCTTTAGCTTAGATTAAAATACGAATTGAGACATTTGAATTGTATGCAAAACAGTCTCATATTGGCCCAAAGTTGCCTTTGGTGTGTTTTTTTGTTACTTAACAATTTTGTTATGATACTTTCCAGTAGCGTAAGATTTGGAGAAAATAATTATTAAGGATTGTTCACTTTTGCACTTCAGTCCCTGCTTTTTTCTATTATATTACTCAAGAGTACTGTTTACCAAATCTTGTGTCAAACCAGTTTTGTTTCTCCATTTGTTATATGGCGTGAACATCAATCTAATCTAAATTATCATTTTAGGCTTTAAACCACAACATTCATTTTCTGTGTTAATATGAGTAGAATGCAACATTCCTTGTCAATGCTGGTAGTTGAACTTATAACAATTACAAATATCTGAACAACTTCCCTGGATATGACAACTCTGAATCTTTTTTTAATACTCTTTAACAGTCATCCATAGGTACTGTCCCAAACAGATCTATTAAATAGAAATATGTTGCTCATGTTAATATTTTTTCCATGCACATTTTCCTCATCTAGTGAAGAAAGAATGGTCCAAAAAGTAGTTTTCTGTTGCTGTTCCATTTTTGTCAGTGATGTTCCTTTCCTTTGTATTTCAAATAGTACGGTGTTTCCTGATTACTTCTGATAGTAGTTTCAAATCATGAGTACACAAATTATACTATTGCATATAAACCTTTGCTGTCTGTGTGTAAATAACCTTCTCCCCCTATTATCTAGAATTTGGCTACTTAATGGCCAAGTTTGAATGATCATATCTCAGCTTAATAGCCCAATATAAAAATAGATGTTTTGCTCATGCACACAGCCCCTCTGCTACTCTAACTAATGATAGTTACAGGTTTCCTGGTTTTACTACCTGCATCATCAAGGGAGGAACAAAGGTGCTGTGTGCCCAGGCAATAGACTCATTCACATATTGGCTTATTGAGCCAAGATACAGTTGTCCAAACTGGGCCACTATGTCTTAATGCTGGCATTAAGATCACAAGCCCTCTCCCTGTGCTAGCTAGTACAGACCTGCTAAACTTAAAAACTTTAAGTTATTGATGCAATTTGATATTTTTTCATAATTTCTATTTAAACAAGAGTTGCATCATCTTCAAACTCATCTCTTTAAGAGTTGCCTTAAGCTTCAAGATTGCTTTTGCTATCTTTTTGTGCTATGTTAACCTTACGTTTATAATAAACTTATGTGAGTGAAACAAAGTGGTTGTAAATTACTTTGTAACATATAAGTGTCAAGTGCTGATACGTGCCATTGTATGCTTAGAGATAAAGGACAGTTTGGCAAATATTCCAAAGTACTATCATTTTTAGGGGACTTGTGGGTTGCTTATTGTGGCATCTCAGGGCTTTTTAAATCCTTTTATTTCCCTTTTAAGAATTTTGCTAATACAAGTTGAGAATAGAAAAGTTTAGTCAAGAGTTAAATCATACAATTAATAGATATTTAAAAGTTACATTTTGTATCTTTTGATTAGGTTCTGAAACATCCAGCAACCAGTTTTGAAATCTACTTCTGACAACTTCCCTTCCTCCCCCCATTGCATTGATAGGTAGGAGTTGCTCATCATCAGCAAAGAGCAAGAATGTTCTTTTTCTGAGATCATTTAGCTTGCCCTACAGATCCAGTTTAAGAACAAGCAGTCTTTGAGGTCATGGGTCTGTATGAAGAACCCCAGACCTCCCCTCCATCCATTACAGTTGCAGAATGCCTATTTTGATTTTTGATTATTTAATTTATATACTGCTTAGTATATTAAAAATATATCTAAGCAGTGTACAGAAATCTAAAGCAGCAACAGACAACTTAAAATATTACAAATACATTGCACACACACAGAGTGGAACCTCGGTTCTCGAATTGCTCCGTTCCTGAATGTTTTAGCTCCTGAATGTCAAAAACCCGGAAGTAAATGCCAATCAGAAGCCATGCCTCAGAATGCAAACGTTTCAGAAGTCGAACGTCCTTCCAAAACGGATTACATTCTCTCACTCTACGCTTGCTTTTTATGGGCAGACCCAAGGTGCATGGTACGTCCTCAGGCTGCCCACAGCTGTGTCCCATTCATCTTCACTCTCCACACCCAGCTCCAGGTACAGCAGATTTCTTGAGTTCCCCAGGGAGTCCAGAGGATGTGGAAAGGGCTCCTCTCTGCTCACAGTTCTTTCCTTATGCACTGTCCTCTCCTCCTCCTCCAGCTGCTTTACTATCCCATGTCAGGGCATGCTTTTATTTTGCATTTGTTTTGACTGAGGTGCTCAATGTCACTTTTCTACTGCATTCTGCTTTTCAATACACTATATAAGGGCTTGGGGTGACACTTCATTAAGAATTTAATGGCAGAATTGATCTGATTCTCACTGAACAGTCGGCAAATCTGCTTCTCAAATTCAAACTCTCTAGCCTTTTTACTGCGGTGGAGAAAATACATTCAATATAAAGACTTTGGATAGGTGGATGCATAAGGTATTGAGTTAGAACAATACCTTTAGCACAACTTAGAGGTAAAAATATATTTCAAGGAAGACCCTGGTGCAAGTGTTTTTTAACCTGTTTCCACAAATGCTTATTGAAAATGCTCACTGTCTCAGAGAGATTTGAACACTGCTGCCTTTCTTTTCTTTTTCTCGTAATATAATATAGCCCTGCTGTTCAAAAAGCTGGCGGTGGGGGGCGGCTGCTTTTATGTTTAGAGTCAATGAAGCCACATGCCAATGAGTTCACTTGCTGTTCTATTAGTACAAATAATATAGTTGTATACATAGCTTTCTTGGATAGCAGGTGTCAAAAATAGCCAGAGGACACACAGGTGCATACTGAAAAGAACATTTAGCAGCTTCTAAGCACTACACATTTCTTTAACTTTACATATTACCAGGAAGACTGTAGCAGGAAATTCATGGAAGCAGAGAGGATTTTTTGTTGATGAGAGCTTTTTTAAAGTCTTTATGTGGGAGAGGTGCCAAGGGCGGTGCTTGTACACACTGCCCTTGTGTCTTCAAATGTCAACAGAAAACAGTACAGTGGTACCTCGGGTTAAGTACTTAATTTGTTCCGTCCGTTCTTAACCTGAAACTGTTCTTAACCTGAAGCACCACTTTAGCTAATGGGGCCTCCCGCTGCCACTGCACTGCTGCCACGAGATTTCTGTTCTCATCCTGAAGCAAAGTTCTTAACCCGAGGTACTATTTCTGGGTTAGCGGAGTCTGTAACCTGAAGCGTCTGTAACCTGAGGCACCACTGTACATACAATTGTAAGCAAGGAGGAGGAGCCAGTCCTGTCTGAAATTCCGGAGAGTCACTGCCAGTCAGTGTAAACCAGGGGTCAGCAAGGTTTACCCTGCCTGGACTGGTTCACTCCAGCAGAGATCCCTCCATGGGCCGGATTGCGTGTGTGCGTGAGCACATACGCCCGCGTTTTCCGGCAGCTGTGCAGCTGTGATTTCCAGTGCTGCAGAGGTGAGTCCCCGTGCTGCGCCGGCTTAGCGCAGCACACGGGGACTCGCCGAGCAGGCGGCTCGGTTCGTGGGCCAGTTAAATGACCCCTGTGGGCTGCTTGTGGCCCATGGGCCTTAGGTTGCCAACCCCTGGTGTTAACCAAATTGAGCTAGATGGACCAATGGTCTGGCTCAGTAAAAGGCATCTTCCATATTTTTACACTTTCAGTGGGGTGTATATTTGAATACATTCCCACCGGTTTGCGCATACTGTAGAACAAAAGTCAGTTAGCATCTGCACTTAAATACACATTTTGACAGTGCAATCTACTTAGTCTCTTCTTTCTTTCATGTGCCACTGCTTCACTGAATGGTGATAAAATGGAAGAGGAGAGTGAAATGTTTCTTTTGGTGTTAAATATTAACATCAAATTTGTATTTGATTTGTAATGTTTAAAAGTGCAGTGTAACCAAAATGCAAAAGATAGGAAGAGAATGCACCAGCTGCTTATTTATAACACACACACCCCCACACACATACACTGTTCTACATTTGTCATTTCATTTTTGTAAAAAGCACTTTCTTGTGTTTCTTCCTGGCCAGTCTCAGGACATTTTTCTCTTCAAATTCCAAATTCACCTTTCTCTTTCTCCACAGTGAATCTCTTATTGTGGAATTTAAGATTCTTAAACGTATTCAGCCACATTAGAAATGTGACTGTGGAGATTACAAGTTTGCTTTTTTCTACGTAAACACACTAGTCCCAGTTCTCCTTATATTAACCACAGAAAACTATTTTTGGGACCAAAGCCCACATGCTAAATAAGATCAAAACTTGGAGCAGTTCTCTTAAACAGTGGCTGCCTGTCAGGGACACACACAACAGCTTTAGGAAGTGAGTCATGTGCTTTCCAAACCAAGGGATGCTACAATACTGTGCCATTCTCCCACCCCACTCCTGTACACTATAAGCTGAAAGAATCTAGCGTGGGAAAAGTCTTGTAAAGTAGTTTCCACACAGGAGGAGGGTCATGATTTAATAATAATGCTGATAGTGTATATGAGCTCTTCAACAAATTCAGGGTTTTACCAAAGCAACTAGTTCCAAGCACTGAATGATTACTGTAAAACAACGTACAAACAGGGAATATGTAGACCTGATTCTTCCTCAGCTCTGCCTTTGTATTATAACACCCCATTAGGCTGTATCCCTTCCTTGAAGGAGCTCAGAGTCTGTGTATGGCCACAGGTCAACAGTGTAGGTGACAGAAATAGTGGCTGCACCAAGGGAACACAGCAAGCTTCACAGCTGAATTGGGGATTTGAACACAAGCCACTCTGGTCCAACACTCACTGCTTTATTGTGCTGGATCTCCACTTGTAAAAAGTACCGTAAGCTCCTTGGCTGTTGTTCATGCATGACCAAGGCAGATCAATTGCCATGTTGTTGTTTAGTCGTTTAGTCGTGTCCGACTCTTTGTGACCCCATGGACCAGAACATGCCAGGCACTCTTGTCTTCCACTGCCTCCTGCAGCTTGGTCAAACTCATGCTGGTAGCTTTGAAAACACTGTCCAAACACCATCAATTGCCATAGAACACAATATTACACATGTTAACCCTGCACAATAGTCCAGTTACAATCCCCTTGCAGATAATTAAAATATTATAAAATTACAAGATCATAAACATGCACCAATAAGAAGCGCCTGCTGAAACAAGCCAATGGTCCATCTAACCTAGCATTTTGTTCTTATAGTGGCCAACCAGATGCCTGGGAAGCTCACATGCAGGACTTGAGCGCAAAGCACTCTCCACTTCTGCTGTTTCCAGAAACTGATATTTTCAGAAGCATATTGCTTCCAACATTCAGCTTCATTACTTGTGCCCGAATTCTAGTGCCAGAAGTAGCTCCGTAGTTCTGTCCTACCACACTGACTGCTACTGGTGGGCTTTCTCCCTCATGGGAGATCTTCAAGCCGAAGCTGTGCAGCCGTTTGTTGGCATTCTAGCTCTGGGTTTCCAGCATCAGGTTGGACTAGACAGCCCACAATGTCCCCTCCCAATCCTTTAATCCAAGACAACTATAGCAAACACGTTTGGGAACACAGGTTTGTCGAGGTTGTGTGTAGATCCCCCTGGGTTTGTAAGTTGCTCCACCTTAAACAGGCCGCAAGTCACAGGATCTGCTTGCAAGCCTCTTAAAATGCCCTTCTCGGGTGTCTTGACAATGTTTAATTTCTCAACTGTACCTGTCCAAGAGAGCAAACAAAGGAGGAAAGAGAAAAGGGATTCCTGATTTGCAACTTTCTGCTTTGCATATCAGACAAAAGTTGCTTTTGAGAGAGAATTTGTTTTTCTTCCTGCTCAGATGGGCTGGGCATAGTATGCCTTTGTCACCCTATCCTTTGTCTCTCTCAGCCAGGGATGCCCCAGAATTTATTTAAAATAGGACAGGGGGCTCATGGTTTTTTAAATCTTTTGCTTTTAACCTGTTTTTATTATTTTACTGTATGGCAATATGGTTTTATGCTATTGGATAATACAGCACTATATACATATTTTTTATAAATAAATAAAAATGGTGGCCGAAAATCAAATTGAAATTTAATATCAGCACCAGTCACTGGAAAGTACCTTCTCTGAACAGAAAGCATTTCCTTGGGCTTCTGCCCAAAATAAAAGCAGAAATTCTAAAAATCTTCTGCCTTCCTAAATGGTCGTTGGCATTTGCCTGCAGCTACGCCTGGATAAGGAC